GCTAATCCATTCTTCTGTATTAATCAATCTACTGTCGACTCCTTCCAATATATTCTTCATTTAAATTATTGTATTCTTCACCTCTGGCTGGCTCTTTATTACATTTTCTATCTCTTTGTTGAGGTGCTGAGTTCCTCTATTGTACTCTCAAGTTTGCTGAGCTTCCTAATGACCATTTCTTTTAATTCTTTACCAAGCAAACTACTTATCTCTGTTTCATTGGGTTTTTCTCTGGAATTTTTGTCTTATTCCTCCATTTGTGGCATATTCTTCTGTCTCCCCATTTTGTTCAACTTACTCTGTTTGTTCCCACAAGTTGAATGGAATAGATATCCCTTCCAGTCTTGAAAGAGTAGTCTCTGGGTAGACTGCACTGAATAGTTTTGGCAGTCTGGTTGTAGTTGGGGCAGGCATGCGAGGTACCTTGTGTGTTGCCTGGCCTGAAGGAGTGGTTCCAGATGGGGCATTCTGGTGTGCCTGTGCCTCCCTGGCATTTTAATCTGGGTGTTGCTACCTGATGTAGACGAGGCTGCTAGGTGCATTCTCGGTGTGCCCCATTGCTTTAACTGTCTGTGATCAGAGCAAGGTCTGGGTGGGGCTGCTTTGCATGCCTGTATCCCAATGCCCAGTTGCATGTGCACACACAGCTGCACTTCGCTTTTTCTGCTCCCTTTCAAGGTAGTGCTACTCCTCTGAACTCAGCTGCACCCCTTCAACTCTGCACAGCAGCCCTGTGGCTTTAATTGCCCACCCTTAGAGTAGGGTCTGGGTGAGACTGCTCTGTATGCCTGCTTTTCAGTGCCCTACTAACTGCTATTTCTCCAGGTGGGGCACCTTTCCTGCACATAGCAACACCCCTCTCACTCTGTGAGGGGCAGCTTATGGGTGGGTACTGCAAAGTTTTGCATGTGGATTCCTCAGTGTTTTTGCTAGTTCCACACTCTGTCCAGGCAAGGAAGCCCCTTGTGTGTGCAGCCTAGTGAGTGTGCAAAGCAGAACCCTGCTGGATCAATCTCCTGGTGGAGGTATCCTTTGTATGCAGCTATGGTGTCTTCCTCTTTCTGCTGGCTCCAGCTCCAAGAGGGGTACCTGGGGCCTGCAGGTCAGCCAGAGATCCTGGATGAAGCTCCTGCCCACTGTCCACCTTTGGGGGAAATGTAAGCAATGGTGCTCAGTGGTTCCTCCAGTCCTGGGTTGTTTGCTCAGCTCCCGGGGAGCTGTCATGGTACCCCAACCTTCTCCATGTGGTCACTTTCTATTACTTGTGTAGATGCTTTTCAATTGGCTCACAGTTGTGTCTCAAGAGGAACAGCTCTGCATATAGGTATACATATTATATATCCTTGGAAGGGGGCAAGCTCAGCGTCCACCTACACCACCATCTTGGGCCCACCTCTCTGACTTGAAAGCTTTTTATTTGCATTGTATCTACTGATTCTCAGGACAAGCAATACTCAAATTAGGGCACTCCCACTATTCCACCATTCAGGTTTTGGCTTATTCAATGATTAGCCTTATTTGTCTTAGAGAACCTTTTATACTATGTTATAACCTTTACCATCTACTGAATCAATTGTTTTTCACTGCTTAAGATGAGAAAATTGGCATGCTGACACAACCCTGTACCTTCTCTCCCTCTTTGTGCCAACTATATTATTTCTAAATCAACATAGTATTACAATATGTTTGTTCCATTTTGTAACCATAATTCTTCCACAAGGTAGGCTTGGTTATATTTTTCTGACATTTATACAGCAAGGCTAAAAGTATTACAAGAAGCACTTGTACAATCACTACCTAGATCTCACCATTAACCTTTTACTACACTTGTTTTATCACATTTCTCCACCCATCAACCTATCACATGTATTTCAAAAGTAAGATGAAGATTTTGTACATCGTATACTTTCCCCTGAATGTCAGCATGCATCTATCTCATTAACTAAAGCTCAGTGTTTGTTTGTTTATAGTGTTCTTTTTCTGATATAAAATTGGCACACACAATGAAATGCACAATTTATTTTTAAAAGTGTCCAATGCTTACCACCTTTTTACTGAACATTTCCATTAGCTAAATTTGTCTTTTTTGCTTTCTTCAGTTTGAACTCATGGACATATCCCTGAACTGTGCATGTTTGAACACACCTGCCCTTTAATTTTATGCTTGCGTGACAGCGAGGGGGTATAAAACCCTGAGGTGTTACTCTTTTCCCTGGAGGGCTTGTGGGGACATTGTTCTCCCCGAATACTGCTATAGGGAAGTTTTCTGAGGGAGTTACTCCTTACACAGGTGATGGGAATTTTGTCGTCGGTTGGTTTGTGGGTTTTGCCCGGATACCCACAGACTTCTTGCAGTCTAGCCCCGTGCTTCTTCAACTTCGATATGAACCACCTGTGGATCTGATTACAGTGCACATCCTGACCCTGGAGGTCTGGGGTGGGACTGAGCTCCTGGCTGGTCTGTGGACTCGGGGAAGAAGACAGTCTAGGTGTGGATCAACTATTACAATGCAGTGGGATCTGAGCACTCCCTGGTGTCCAAGGAGCCCACCAGGCAGCCCGTGCCCTCCAGCTATTGTTCCAAGCAGAGCGGTCCTGTTGCACTCAGTGCATGCCTCCAGATGGGGGCCCTGTCCCCTCTGCGTCTCCAGCTCCAGGTACCTCTTCTCCCTGCCCAGGTCCCATGCTTATGAGTGGCCCTTCTTGCATATTGGGAAGTAGGACTGAAAGGGGTTTGCCAATTTCAGCAAAAACTGTTTAATTCTGTTTTTATTCTTGTTGCGTCACAGAGGAAAGGGAGCTAGAGACATCTTTGGAAGAGTGAGCAGTATTTTGGCTCCAGAGGAGTACAGGAAGCCTGGAGAGCAGGAAGAACATGGGTTTGAAGTCAGACGTCCTGGCTTCGCACCCAGCTCTGGTCTTACAGGTGTGTGACCTTGAGCAAGTTAATTAACATCTCTAGGCCCCAAAGTGCTTCTATTTAAAAAGCAGAGATGATAAAAACCTCTTTCACAGGATTGCTATAAGGATTAGAAGAGAAAGAGTTTAAGGACCTAACACAATAAATGATGTTTTTCTTCCTGAGCTCCAACTGGCTTAAAAGCTTAAGCATATCCCTAATGACAATGGGCAAAGTTTATTTTTGAGTTCAGAAGGCCCCCAATGCCTTATGCACATTGTATTTCATTCCCTCCATAAATATGGATGTGCCAGGCACTGTCAGGAGAGGGAAAGGAGAGGTCTTACTGAGACTCTCACAGTTGGGTGAAGGGTCACAGTTTTCATCATCCTTGAAGCTTTATGCTTTGTTTGTTAAATCTCCAAGCTAAGTCATAGCATTTTCTAGATGAACTGATACAATTTGGTGGCTGTTGAGGAGGATTCATCAAGGCACTGGGAGGGGCTGCCTTGCTCACATACCTTATCCTTCAAGTGGACAGGGGTTAGGAACAGGTTGGCATAGTTACCATAAACAGGAATCTGTCCTGAACGTTATTTATTTTAAAAGAGGCAAATTACGAGCCCTGGCTGTGTGGTTCAGTTGGTTGTGGAGGACTGTCCATATAGCTAAAGGTTACAGGCTTGATCCCCTGTTGAGGCATGTACCGGAGGCAACCTATCAATGTATCTCTCTCTCTAAAGATCAATAACTATATCTTCAGGTGAGGATTAGAAAAGAAAAAGAACCAATATACAAAGTTAAGAACTGCACCTAACTTGCTGGATTTAACGTCATTTACAATGTAGTGGGCAAGTAATCCAAGTGAGGTTGCCAAATATTCGGCCTCTGGGACTTACAAAGAAGTACCTGTTGTTCTTATTAGAGTAAGTTAGGACGCGGGGTGTTCCTAAAGTGCTAAAAGGCAGTTTAAACATTTTTTAAGTTCTTGCTTAATCTATGAATTCATTTCCATGATGGTAAGAGGGGCAGGCTCAGTCTAGCTGTTTTCTCAAAATGCCACCCACGGAGCTGGCTAAACACACAGGGTCCTAGATCCCAACCGGAGCTGCTTGAGTCCCACCGAGGAATGGACTCAGGAACCTGCATTTTCTAGCTGGGGTCCCAGCATGTCTACCTGGGCAAGTGCCCAGTGGTGGGAATGATCAGATTTATGATTTAAAAAAACAGGACCCAAGGACTCCAAACAGGAAGAGAAAAAAGACTGTGTTTGTATATAAATCACTAAAACAAGAGTGACCTTTTTCTCTTGAAAAATAATGCTTAGAAAACAGGGAAACAGTGACATCGTGAGGAGTCCAGAAGGATCTGTGCTCTAATGTCTCAAATACAAAGGAAGGAGAAAGGGAACTGAACATCAAGGGAGAGTATTTGGCAAACACCACACAAAATCCAGCAGGTAAGTAAATGAGACAAACTGTATACAGGAAGCAGCACCAAGCTCACAGTGCTGCTTCCCGTATCTCCTCCCGAGCATCTTCCAAGCTTGGAGGGGTGGGTCTGAGTCTCCTGATTCTTAAGAGCTGGTCACATGACCCAGCTTGGTTTGTGTTTTGGAAGAAAAAACAACTGTTCCACTTTTATAGAAGAGAAGAACGAAGCTCTGAAAGCTTCAGCCACTCGCCCAGAAGACTCAGGAGAGGTGAACCTACAACTGTAACTCCCACCAGCGGCTGAGGGCCTTTTCCTTCCCAGCTAGGGAGAGGGAGGGAGCTCCAACCAGACACAGGCTTCTAACCTTTCCAAATGAAATCACATCACAGTGCCAGGTGGAAAACCAGCCAGGTGTCCAATTTTGCACATAGACGTCCGACTTTGAAGGGCCCAGCATCCCGTCTGGTCCTCTCCCCCCTGCGCTAAACAGTAGGCTGCACATGTGCCAGCTCAGGGAAGTACCACGAGATGAGCTGTTCCAGCCACCTAATCAGTTTTGCAATGATTTCCTAAAAGCCAGGAAAAATGCTTTTTATTCTTTTTAAAGCCATCAGCATAGGCCAAAGAACAATGCTAGCCCAAACTGAACATCTTAAAAGTCGCTTACCTGATTTGATTCCTTTAATGGGGTAAGTGGCATGTGCGAGAAAGTTGGGATCACTGAACATATCTTCCTCATACACCACAAAACGCAGAAACGCGAGGTTTGGATCATAAATTTCAAACGTCACCTTCTCCTGTGTTGGAGCCCAAACAGGGCTTAGACCATTGTCATCTGGAAGGTGATCAAAGCTTATTAGAGGCCCTGTTCGTGCTGCCCCCTCCTGGAAAAAAACATCTCTACATTCATCAGCTTTGAATCTCCTTAGCAACCGTGTAAATATGCATCTATGCCAAGGTCTGAGAAAATATTAATAATCTTTTTCCCGGTAGCAATCCTGGTAAAGCTGTTGTCACAGGCCTGAGTAAGGAGGGGGAGGACCCCGTATCCCTTTATATGGCTCCCATCTCAACTTCCTGGGATGTGGAAGGGGGGGGCTCGGAGGAGGCAAGAAGGACCGAGGTGCATTTGGGCATCTGAAGAGTTAGAGCCAGCATGGGTTCTGTAGTTGTCAGGGGAGAACCAGCCTCATAGAGCAAGGCAGGCAATCAACCTGCCACCCTTCACAAACGCCAGTTTCACCAGTCAGCGTGTGAGTTGTCCTTGGGCCACCTTTCACGGGGGGGCCGTGACCCAGGCTTCAAAGGGCCCCCAGTTCATGGTTTCTTCCTGGCTTAAAATGGAAGAACACACGTTTGTCTAGGCCTCCCTGCCCTCTGTGGGAAAAGATCACCCAGGTCAGGCTGCAGCCTTTGGGTCAGACAGTCACCTCCTTTGTGTGTCTCTGCTTCTTGGGCTTGACTACAGAGGTAAAGCAGCCGGGGCTGCCGCACAGGGAACCAGAGCCTTGCTGGCTGGAGTTACAGGCAGAATCACAGTACTGGGTACAAGTCCAACTATTTAATCATCGGGTCCTCTGTTTCCCCTCCCGGAGCTGGACTGTAGTGAGCAAGAGGGATGAAGGGAAAGACCCGAACAACCAAAGTGCATTACAGAATTTCCAGGGAAGGGCAACCCCAACATGGGACACAACTCACTTGAAGTGTGAGAGAAGGAAGGACCCACACAACTTACTCACAACCGTCGTCTTAAACTTGTTGTTGTCATATTCAGCTCCACATATTTCCACCTCCACAAAGGGACATGCGATGCTTCGTCCAGGCTTGGGAAGGTGGCGAGCCCCAAGGACCTAGGGCACCAAAGGTGAGTGCTGGGATTCTCCCAGGCCGTTGTGGAAGGAGCTAACAAGTTCTAGCTGGGAGGTGGTCTAGCAGGGAGCTCATTTTTGGTTCTAGCATCAGACTATATGAGTTCAAAGCCAGCCTCAATTTCTTTATTGGGGAAGTCCTAACAACCTTTTGAAGCGGATACCACCCCTGTTTCCCCCCCACGGATGAGGAAATGGGGGTGGAGAGCTGGGTGGATCCCCAGAGCTGTTCAGATGAGCCAGGATCAGAGCACCCTGCTGCCATCAAAGTGAACAGGTGTGCCTCACCTGAACACAAAACACATCCTGCCCAGGCGCCGGGGGGCACCTACAGCTACAGAGCATTTAATCACTTGATTTCCCAACTCTGAGAAAAGGCTAGAGGAGTGTGTGATTTTCTTTTAAAGGCCTTTGGATACAAATGCTTCATTTTTTTTCTTCCTAAGAAATGCAGTTTATTTTTCTACCTTTTGTATTTTCCCAGAGAGGAAAAAATTAAAATTCTCACAAAACTTCTCTGAAAGTTGAATTTTTAAAAGCTTTCACCCTTACACTGTGGGGACAAACTCTCCCTCCATGGAGACCAAATGGCCATTTCCCCACATGCTTTCTTTCCCTCTTTTCCTGGCCAGAGACGATCCTTGCCAGGACCCAGGAGAACCCCCCGTGAACTCTCAAGCCATGTCTGGATGGTGATGGTTTAAACAAGACGACAGGCATCACTAGGCTCAGGGCTGGGCCTCCCAGTGCCACCCTTGCTCCCTGGGCAGGGGAGGACAGCAGGGCCTCACCTTGACCGTCAAGGTCATCTGAATCTTCCTCTGGGACTCAGGTGGCATGGGGTCGTACTTATCCGTCCTCATGCTCTCGGGTTGCAGGACGTAGCCGGTCCTCCCATTGAGTGAGAACAAGGCCTGATTCATCTGCATGTACTTGTCTGGGAAGGAAAGGGAACCACTGAGGTAAGTCTGGCAGGAGAGGCTGGCCTCTGGGGCTGGTGGGCCACGGTTTACACAAGTGATTACCCCCCAAAATAATATGAGCCAGTTGTTAAAACACGTACGTAAACTCAAAGAAAATATGGGTTTTTAAAAAATCCACTGGAAACCCTTATTACTGGAAGAAAAACATGGACTTTTAAAAACATCTCAGACCAGGAAACACCTTTCCAAGTATGACACCAAATCCAGAACCATAAAAAAAATTACAAACCACTCAAAGCTAAAAATGTCTACATAGAAAAAAATTCCATAAAAGTTAAGTCCTTTTAACTCAAACAACAGATAAATAAATACATCTAAAGCTGACCCACGGAGAGAGCTATTGATAAGTGCTTCCTACTTAAGAGAAAAACTAGTTCATGTGACTCAAAATAAGGGCAACACCAATGAGGAAAGTTTTTTAATGACAGTGTGATGGCAACTTTCATCTATCAGATGGGCAAAGATTGATCAAACTAAGCGAGTGAAGTTATGCCAGAAGGGTGTATTCAAATGCTCTACCAGTCTGCATTCCCACCCACAATCTCTAGAGAAGCACATGGCCGAGGGTCTCAGCTCAGGCACCCCTGGACACATGTGTTCAGTGGTTGTCCTCAGGGCAGTTGATTGAAATGCTAGTGCTGTTTAACGCACCCTGCACATCTGAGAATTGTCTCACAGATGCTCACGGAAGGCAGTGCCATCTGGAATAGCAAAGGATGGGGAATAACCTAAGTGTGCCTCAGCAGGGGCCTGGTTAAATAAATGATGGTTCTAGTCAGTGGAATCCTATGCAGGCATAAAAGCAATAGAAAGGAGATAACTGATAAACAGATCCCCAAAAGAGACTTAAACAACAACAAAGGTACAAAACACTGTGATTTATGCTACTGTTTATGTAAAAAGAATTTCGCATGTTGATTTTCTACAGCATGTGAATCTCTCTGAAGGAAAGTCTGAGCATGAAGCCCTCAAAGACAGATGTACCAGGAAGAAAGACGAGTACAGAGGAAGCTACTGGACACCTTGATCCAGCTGTGCCTGAAACTGTACAACTCCTAGGCTTTTTAAAATATGTAAGCTAATTAATTTCTTTTCTTTCTTAAGCCAGACTAACTCAGTGTCTATCACTTGCCATCATAGAATCTGCCGAATACAAGTGCCTACTGTCAGATGTGCCCATCAGTCCCCTTAGTCACTCTATTCAACTGATGAGCCTTACACTAGCATGCTGGTTGAACCAGTTCCTAAGACAAACCACAGGCACTGGGACAACATATTCCACCAGAGGCCCCAGAAGTCTGTGCCTGGAATGACACTTCCATCATCTTGGATTTACTGGCCACAAGCTGTCGCCCTTACCTGGGGTCTGGAAATTGAGTGCCACCATTTGGGAGCCACATAGCCAGAGGCGGAAGGGATCGTAGTTGGAGGAGTCCACCCTCTGTCCCTTCGGGTAAACGCGGGTCAGGGCCTTCTGATTGTACTTCAGGAGATCGATGGGTTTCTGCCTGACGACACTGTCAGCCTTCGTCTCCACAAAGGAACGGATTTCTCGGAAGTCAGGATTTTCTGCGCCAAGAGACAGAGTCGCCGTTTATCGTGTGTCTCATGCATTATCTGAATGTGAAGATTCATAAAATGAAACCAGGAAGCCCTCTGACAAGACATGCACATGGGCCTGATGCCAGTCCCATAACTGGGACTGCTGTGGGGTCCTGGCTATTAAAAGGGATCCCAGTGTTCCCACAGTCTTTTCATCTAGGATCATTGTAATGTTCTTTTTGTTTAAAATTACTGGCAGCCCCGCACAAGAAACCACCAAAGTGGTACAAGTATAAAAAGGGGGAGGGTCAGGAAATGGCCTCAGGGATCAGCAGGTAGGAGGAAAGTGGATTCTCCCCTCTTAGGAATGGCTTCCTCACCAGAGATGCCATAGGTTCAGATGAGTGAACCGAGCCTCCTGGTGGAGGGAGAATGAACTGCCTGCAGGAAAGGCTGAGTGAGAGAAGGGGGAGAATAAGTGGGAGGAGAGGGAGGGGAACATGCAAACAATTCTATGCTTGGGTGAAGCTTTGCTCCTTTATGTCCTGCTGTGGTGGAAGAGCCCATAAACCTGCAAAGTGGAGGTGCCTGGGGAACAGCCTCCTAGTGACCATTAATTCTGGGGTTTGGTGCTGTTCCTCTGGTCCTTGGTCCTAGAATCACACATTCCTGAGACCAAAGATAGGATCTGCTCCAAAGGTTCAAAGAAAGGAGGAAGGAAATGTGAATGGGATAATTCTAAAGTCAAAGAACTAGCTACATTGAAGAATTTGGTGTAAGTGATTTTTGAATCCTTCTGTGCCTTATATGGCAAAGGGAGCTTTGCAGATATGACTAAATTAAGGAGCTTGCCATTGGGAGATTATCTGGGCCCTAAATGTTACCACAGACCCTTTTAATAGGGAGTATTTTGACTACACAGAAGAGAAGGACATGTGACCAAGAGGCAGATTGGAATGATGCAGCCACAAACCAAGGAATGCTGGTGGCCACCAGAATCCAGAAGGAGTGGCTGAAATCTGTCCACACCTTGATTCTAGCCTAGAGATACTGACTCTGGCCTCCGGGACTGAGAGAGTAAAAATATGTCCTTTTCTGCCACCAAGTTTGCGGTAACTTATTACAGTAGCAGTAGGAAACTGCCCTGCCCCTGAGAGGGTTGTTCTCCTTAGGTGTCAGGAGGGCCTGTGTAACTAGCACCCTGGCTCTGAGGACAAATGAGAGGGGAAGCTCTGCCTAGAGCAGTTAAGAATGAGCAGGAGCCACACTGGCTGTGCCCTGTGACAACGCCAGACTCGGAGGAACAAGGGTTTTCACCATGTGGGGAGGCGGAGTCGTGGGAGACAGTACCTAAGTTGTCTTTGGTCTTGCTGGTTGGCTTGCAGTAGACGACCAGGTCCGACAGCTCGATGGCGATCGACTGGTTCTTCTCCCAGTACTTCATGTTGTTCTCCTGTTTGGGCCAACTGTCTTTAGTCTCGGCCGTCTGGCCAGCACCCAAGGGATCCCAGTCCCCAGCCCACCTGGCATGCTTTTCTCCCCTCTGACTGCCGTCTCTCCTCGTGGCCCTCCTGCACACTCAGATCTTTAATGTGGTTGAATGTCTTCCTTTCCCCTGTCCCTCCTGTCTTTCCTTCTCTTCCTGTCGAAACTCTTGACCAAGTCATTTCCACCCAGGATTGCGGTCACCACACCACTCTCCTTAACCCTCTGCTGGCCTGTGAACCACTGTTCCAGTTCATCCAATTCTAGTTCTCCAAGCCCTTGACCTCATGTCCTCCTGGGCTCTGGAGAACACAGCATCCTTGTCATAAATTGCTGGCCTGGGCACCCCTCCTCTCTGAGGCTGAGGCAATGTGCACAGTTCCCGCCTGCCTCTGATTTCTCTAAAATGCCCCAGAGCTCACAGCTCAGGTCCCTGGAACCACAGCAATGACCTCCTGGCTCCTCAGCCTACAGTCCCCATCCTCCCGCCTCTGCTGTTCCATCAGATTCCTCCTGCTCCTGGACCCTTCCCAGATCATGCCTTCTCCAGGAAGCCTTCCTGGATAACTCCAGTCAGAACTTGGAAAAAGATATTGCTTCCCTCAAACCTTCGAGGATGCTATTTCACCCAGGCCTGGCCTGGCTCAGCCTCATACTGCCCTGCACTGATGTCATTAATCACTACAGCCCAGACCTTGTTTCCCCACTGAGACATGTCCCCTGAGAGCAGGCCCCACGGGTAGCAAGTGTTCAGGTGACGGGGAGAAAGAGGGGATATGGAACACAGTGGTAAGGACGGTGGGGACTGGAATCAGAGACATGGGTTTGAAAGCTGACCCTGCTATTTATTACCTGGGTCAGCTGGGCAGGTTATAGGCTCGCTCTCTGCACCTCAGTTTCCTCAACTGTCAGGTGAGGCTAACACGAGTACCCCACTCCTAGAGAATTAAACAAGGAGGCCTTGGCACCCCTCCAGGCATGTGGCAAACAACAGGTGGGGGATGCTCAGGTTGCTCCAGAAATGTCCCCCAGACAATGATGGACAAAGTCCACTCTTTAAACAGGCAGGTATAGGCACCAGATTTCTTCTGGAAGAATGCCTTCACCCATGAGTGCTCACATAAATCCTGGGGGCACGGTGGACCTTAGCAATCAGTGACCAGCAGAAGAGCCTGTTATATGCGCCCTAGAAATGACCATATCACCAGGACAGATTTCAGTGTGACCAGAAGCCTCCAAAATTTGTTCTAGCAGCTAGCTCATCTACGCGCGCACACACACACACACCTAAATGGAAGGTCACCAGCCCTTCCCACACTTTCTCAATGCAAGCCACAGCCACAGCGCTGAGGCCAGAGGGCGTTGCAGTAGGTGGGATGGGCCCGGAGTGAGGCAAAGAGTCAGCTGCATAGTCAATAGGAAAATGCCGTCAGGGAAACAAAGCCTTAGTTATTTTCGGACTTTGGGTGTTTTCTCCTAGACCTTGTGTCAAATCGGCTTGGTGATTTCCCCGGGGGGTTGTTAGCAAACAGGAAACACAGCAACAACACAGTTCGGCTCTAATGACAGAAGGACTGCTTTCAATGTGGGGGGGGTATGGGTTGGGGGGAATACCTATATGGTGAATCATGGAACTTTGACCTCACAAAGCACAAAGCAATGGCAAGTTATAGACTTCATTTTTTTAAAACCTTAGCAGAAGACATTATCAGTTTAAGATGAAATATCAGTTGCTTCCTCAGAATCTTGTAACCATTACTCTCCAGACTGGCAGATTTTGCCCGTCGGACCCTCTCAGAATATGAAGTCGCAGCACATTTCCTTGGTCAGGCTTTGGAAGCTCACTAACTAGATGGATTTTGGTGGCTGGTCTTTTTCCATGGACTAAAGTGGGCCAGAGATGGTGCAGAATCACAGGGCCCTGAGCATGTCTGCAGGGACAGGCGCAACTGGGAGGCCAGGAGCCCCGAGCAGTAAGCGGAGAGCTCACGCACGCACACACGCATACATGCACACAGCTCTCCCAGAGGCAGATGGGGCCTCCTTCCTCCAGCCCCCACCTGCTCTTCTTACAGCTGGTTGGGCCCAGGGCAAGACTCAATCAATTCTGCTGACTCCTGTTTTTTAACCCTTCATAGGCAATAAGACTTTTCCATTTTTTTCTAATGAAATCTTAACGGATGTAAAAACCAATTAAAGAGGAATGTAGATCAAAGGAGCCTTGAACAGCGAGGCTTAACTTCAGAAACCATGCAGGTGAGGAGAAAAAAAGGGCAGAGAACCTTCAAGTGAAGTCACATTTTTTCCATAAGAAGTGGAGGGCCAGGACGCAGCTGGCAGAGTGTCCTCACCATGGGTGCGACTCTGCGCCCAACACTCAGCCCCCCTTTCAAGAGAGGTTTGGGTCCCTGAGACCCAAGGCTCCAGAGAACAATTGCTAAGGGCTTTCTCACTAGTGCTTTTCTCCATCCTCAGCTTTAGTGCCCAGAATCACAAATACTAGAACATACTTAAGAGGGTCACATGCTGGCAAATGGCGCCATACAGTTCATGATGACAGCTATTCAACAGCTATGTGAACACACATCTGAAAGATAGAGGGAAAGGAACTTTCAAATGAGCCTTGGGAGCGTGGCGCCCCCCTGTGTCTGGGAGCTGTAATACACTGAAGGCACAGGGGTAAATGAGATGCTTCCACCAGGAAAAGTGGGAAGAAAGAAACTTGCGGGCCACAGCTCATCATGAGTGACTGGTGATGTGTGACAAGCCTTGGGAAGAATGATGACCCAGGTGTGAAGCCTCTGACTAGATCCTAGGACGGGAAAGACAACGAGCCCCACCAGGGAGGGTGCTCAGCCTACCAGCTCTCTATAAAGTCTTCTAATAGACAAAAAACTGTACTTGAAAAATAACTAAATAAAATTAATTTTAAAAAAAAAGAAATAAAGTCTTCTAAAAATGAGGACTCCACTCCAGGGTATAGAAGGGGTAAGTCACAGTGAATGGAGACTGGCCAAGCTTGAGGTCCCCCAAGAGGAGGGAGAGACTAGGCTACTGGTGCCTGGTCTTCCAAGTTCATTGAAGGAAGAGGACCCACTGAGGGGCCCAAGAGGTCCTGGGAAAACTTTAAAGTCAGTCCTTTGGGTCAAGACCTGTCTTAGAAGCAAGTGGGAAACCCTAAAATTTCTTCCCATTTCTATGGACACAAGAAAGAGCAGATGGCACCTCACACTTCCCCACACCCTCCTGGAGTGACCATGCCGTGACAGTTAAAACCATCAGGAACTGCACCCAAGCTGAATGCCAGGCGCCATGCCTCACCCTTTTTATGCCGCACCTCATTTCATCCTCACATCTCCTTTTCCATTAGGTGCCTGGCTCCTCATTTGGCAGAAGAGGAGGCCCAGAGACATCTGGTTACTTTCCCAGGGTACAGCCCTTCCAGGAGGCAAACCAAACCTCCTCTTCTTACCCAGAACCTGACCCTTCTCAAAACACTTCCAGCCCAACACTAATGCACCACTCAGGATAACCCTGCAAAGTTCATGCCCATCAAGAGTGGAAGTTCCTCCGTAAGCACACAAACTTCTGGAGGCAGAGAACAGGGTCCTGTCAATACAGTTTTCCCAGAGTCCACTGCAGGCCCAGGGAGGCCAGTCCAGTGCATGCTCACTGTGGGAGGGATCCAGCCTGCTTTGAATAATTCTTAGAGACAAGAAAATACAATATGAAAGACAAACCCTTCTTGTTAAGATATAGTCCCAGACATCAAGAGTCACTGCACACACTCTGAGCCTTCTGAGGCTTCCCAGGAGGACATCTAACATCCCTTTCCTCTGTCAAAATCACAGATGCTACCCTACTGTCTGAACCCACCTCATTGCTGCTCCGAATTCTGTGTGGCCCCTGGGCCTGCTCCTCCTGCTGCCTGGACCCACCTACATCTCCATAGAGTGCCAGGAGCCTAAGAATACCAGGCCCACCTGAGCCCAGGTGAGCAGAGGGCCTACCTTGGTGTCAATCTTCCAGGTGATCTCCCGGATGCTCTGAAACCATTCAAAGAGCTCCTCCACCCTGTCCGTGGCAAACTCCACCGGAGGGTCCCCCTGCTTCTTGGGCTCCAGGATAAAGACGAAAGGCTTCTGGTTTTTCCCCTGTGGGGCTTTCACTTTGGGGAGAGAACACCACAAGTCCTGATCAGCCTGTCAGAAAGCCACAAAGGCCAAACTTCACATTGCCCAAGCCTCTCTGTCACGAGCCCAGCGGTCAGGGCTGACTGGGACACCTGTTTCATATCGGGCAGTGTCTGGACTCTTGACACACGTTACTGGTTCAGGTGAGCAGCAGCCTGAGTTGTGTTCTCCAAAAAGGTATTGCCACAGCCTGACCCCTGGTGGCTATGAATATGACTTTAGTTGGAACCAGCATCTCTGCAGATGCACCTAAGGATCTCAGGATGAGACCATCTGTGGAGTTAGGGTGGACTCTACCTACCTCCAAGAACTAGTGCCCTTATCAGAGAAAGACGAGGGAAATCTGAGACACAGACACAGTGAAGACGACCATTAAAGACACAGGCAGAGATCGGAGTGACGCAGCCACAAGCCAAGAGACACCAAGGACTGCCAGTAGGAGGGAGCCAGGGAAGAGATTCTGTCTGGAGAGAAAGTGTTTTCTAGGTAAGAATATTAAGGCTAGGAGAAGAGAAATAACCTGCCAACTAAGATTATTCACTAACTTCTCTGAGCTCGTATGTGCTGGGCACTATTCTAAGCAGATCGCACGTATCTTATTTCGTCCTTATCACAATCCTTTGGGGTGCTTTCTTGTCATACCCATTTCACAGGAGGACACAGAGACTTGTTGAGGGAACGTGACACATGCAAGGTTACCTAGCTAGTAATGGCAAAGCTGAGGCCTGAATGAGACCAGACCCCAAGCTTCCTGTCTGTCACCACGCAGCCCTGTACCTGTGCCCTGTAAACATGGTGCAGGAGACGATACAAAGAGCAACACGAGTGAGTCCCAGCTCGTCCATCAACACCTGGGAACCTCAGGCAGGGCTCGTGGGTGCCCACAGGCCTGGTTTTCTCACCTGTTCATTGGAACCAAGAGTCCCTCTCTTACCTACCCTATCAGATCGTTGTCGAGAAAGAAACAAACAGGCAATAAATGGAGAAAGCAAAGTGCTGATACTTGAAGCAGAAATTTCCCAGCACTACTGTTATCTGAGGCCTTGGACCACGCTCAGGCCTCCCCAGCAAAGGCCCTGGAGGGAACACACCCAGGCTGATGAACTGATGGGCTGCTTGGACCTGCAGAAAGCAGGAAAGGTGGGCTGCCCCAAGGAGAACGCTGCAGAGGTTTCTTGCCCAGACTGTTCTCCTCACTGCCTTCAGTCCCTTCGAATGGAAGCTGCTATGTCCCCACTTAAAAGCGGGCATGGTCAGGGCTCAGGAAGCCCCTGCAATTCGAAGCCCCTGCAATTCGAAGCCCCTGCACCGCTGTATGCACCTGTGTGCTTGAGCCATGCACTCACATCTCCCCTTGCACCAGACTCCAAGGTGGGCAGGCCAGGTTTCCTGATGCCCAGCTGAGCAGCCAGGAAGTGGCAGTTCAGAGAGAAGTGACAGGCCCAGGGTCTCATAGCAACCAGGAGGCAGAGCTGGGCTTAGAACTAGACACTCCCAACTCCATGCTCTGTGACAGCCGGGCCAAGAGCCCAGCCCCTCTTAGAAAAGCATGGGAAACCCAGGCAGATCCCTGAAATGATGATGACATTGGGAATAACACCGTCTAACACCCGTCTAGCACTTACTCTGCACCAGACTCAGCGTTAGCACTTTGCAGATACAAATAGCAGACCTAACACTGAAATCAGCGACCAGCCTGGCTGAATACTCAACTTCAGCGAGAGGGTGGTTCTGAGGCCAGACTCGAGGTGGGAGTGGGGGGATTTGGGTGGGAATCTAGGCTAAGGCCATGTGTGAACGCACCTACGTTATAGGCATTGAGATCCAGTATTCCTCTGCAAAGAGACCCTAAGGGATTGTCTTCAATAATCTGTGAAGAAATAAGACATACCTCATGTTAGTTTTAACAGGTATAATCATAAAAGACAACCAGTTTCCAAAGCACACTGTTTAGCAGAGACACTGCCGGAGGAACTATTTAAAATGCATTTTCATTACAGGATACGTCCAGGGGGAGAGCGCTAAATAATGGAGCATGTGACTGACAGGGACCAAGCAGTGAGCAGGTGCTGGCAGGGTTGGCACTTCATTTTCCAATCCATATAAATGGGCCTTGTGAATTCCAGAACTGGTGTGGGAGCATTTCCACGGATCTGGTTTCAGAAACACCTCAGGCCCTTCTTCCTGACATTACGAGATGGGACTCTCTGGCCTCCTAAAGTCCAGCTCAAAAGCCTTCTGAGACTCTCCAAGTCCTGTGGAAGCAATATCTACACCTGTGAGCTGACTCTCAGGCTTTCTGGGAGCCCTGGTCAGCCTTCCAGCTCTACCTCCCAGGGCTCAGGTGCAACAGGGAACACTCCGGTGTGAGGAGAGCTGGCAGAACTGTGCACCTGCCCACTGCATTACTCCCCACCCCTCCGCCAGGCTAACGCTGTGTGGGCGAGGGCACCACAGACTGACACAGGAAGGGCATAATTTCTCTGCCTCAGGTTGAGCACACTGAACACAATCATGTTCCTACCACCACACCTTTGCTTGGGCTGTACTTCCCACCTAGAATTAATTCCCTCCTATCAGTCTCTTGCTGTTGATATCTAATTTGTCTTTTAAGGCTCAAAGAGAGCCTTTCTCCATGCAGCCTTCCCGGATTGCCCCAACTCCCTTAGAAAATTCCTTGGGCTCAAACAGAACCTTAAAGTCCCCAATACAAAGAGTTCATGCCTGGTGCAGTGCCGTCACACTGGAAGTGGCTGGTCTTTTGAGTGTTCTGGGCCAGAGGAGGCAGGGGACAGAAACCAGGTTTACAATGCCGCCAGGAAGGCCTCAACTCACCTTGCACTTTGGCCTGCTTGCTTATTCACAACCAAGCATGTTCTGAATGGCTGGCTGGCCAAACTAAATGTGTTTCATCTGCAAGCTGCTTTGAGCAAAGGACAAGTTCCCTGTTTGGCCATTTTCATTCTAGAGAGATTTCTCCTGAATATTCAAAGCCTTCCAGCCCACCACAACCTGATTAAAACATGGTCGGTCACAATGACTTTCACCCACAACAGCTCAGGGGACCATCCTGCTTTCCACGTCACTCTGTGCCAGGGCTCCATGGGGACCACTCAGCAGTGTGTGTAAATGTACCCACGGAGATGGATTCCCTGAAGGAGCGGCAGGTCCCTCTCTGCAACAATGGAGCCTCACCTGCTTCTCCAGGTCCTCCACATCAACCGACGAAATGTCTTCGACATAATTGGACGGGAAGTACTGCTGGATTTTGGTTCCATAGTCTCCTTTCCACCTAGGTAAGAACAGAGGGCATCAAGGGCCTCACACGGGCAGTGTTAACAATCCATTTCTGCTCCTTAGATCCTAGCTGCGGGTGGGGAAAGGCGGTGTGTGCCCGAGAGGCTGAGATAAGTGCTGAGATAAGGCAGCTCTCCAAAGGGCTCCCCTGCTCTTCTTTATCAGCAATGAGCAAGATGGGGGGGGGGGGGCAGCATGGATCCTCTTCCCTTTTGGTCAAAGAGACCACAAGTCAAAAGTTTCAGTGCTTGATGTGGACTTCACAGGCCACACAAGACAAGCTCTGCTCTGGAGCAGGGAGCACTGTGAGTTCAGAGACAGGGTGAGATAAGGAAGGTTCTGGAGCCAAACAGCCTGGAATCAAATTCCAGCTTCACGACCAACTACATGGGTCCTCTGTGCCATCTGTAAAATGGGGGTAATCCCAGTGCCTCCCTCAGAGGATTTAGTGGAACTGCATGGGTTAACACATGCTGAGAGCTTTAAATAGCACCTAGTACACAGGAAGCGCTCAACAGTGTCCCTGTTGTTCAGCTAAAAGACCACCCGCAACCTCCTTCCTACCTTTGTAGCAGCAGCAGCACCGATAACAGCACGGGACATGACCGAGCTATGCACATGTCTGGACCCAACTAAACTGTGGCATTTCCAAGATTCTTCCCCATGTCCAGTCCCTGGACACGCAGGGCTCCTCCCTCCAACACCCCATGTGGGCCACCTTCTGCAGCCAGGAGCACTTTCCAGAATGCATCTCTGACCACACTGCACTGATGGCTCCTGGACCCGTCAGAATCAAGTCCAGACTCTTCAGCCTGGCAATCAGCACCCACATGGTCTGACCCCAGGGGCTCTTGGACCTCCCTCGACTCCTGGCTCCCCATGACTCAAACTTGACATTCTTTCCAAACAACCAGTCCCCCCCCACTTGTGGCCCTGCTGTGCTGCCTAGCTTCCGTGCCTTGGTCCTTGCCCTTCACATCCAGCTTGCTCCTACTAACCACTTTAGATTCAGCTCAGGTGTGCTGCTTCCCGGGAGCCTTGCCTGACTGCCTCCTAGGCTGAGTGCTCTTCTGTGCTCCTGTGGCATCTGTCCCTACAGACGTCAGAGCAGTCCACTTCCCCCACTATGGGAAACCTTCCTCAATCTCAATCAAAGCTGCACCAGGGGTGGTGGGAAACATTCCACTGTGTATCAACCTAAACAAGCCGAGTAAAGGCCAACTGTGCCACAGCCTCGTGTAGATACAGGCTCCCCAGTTGTACGTCATTTCCGCCCTTGTTCCTCCAGGGCCGTCTCAGGCAAAAGCTGGCTGTATCCAGGGGGACTGTTTGCCTGGAACTGAGTGATTTGTGCCTGTTGTCCAGGCGTAATTATTAACAAGAACGTTCTCTGCACTCATACATCCCAGGACACACAAAAATTATTTAGTCCCCTCAGTTCTATTGCAACCAGTTTGGGAGGATGCACTGAAAGGGGGTCTGACACAGGCACCCCCTAGATATTGTCACCAGAGAGGAGGAGAAGGTGGGGGGAACCCCAGCTGGGTGGTTTGCCCACAGCGCCTCAGCAAAGGCCCTCATGCCAGGCTCTTAATTCTCCTCAAAACAACAGCCTTGGGAACGCGTGGACATGCACACCAGAGGAGCGGAAAGGTGCGAGCTGCTGCCCACATGCACAAGGGTGTGACTGCAGTGATCACCTGGGCTCCACCCACAGTTCTGTATGTCAGTCATCCTCACAGACAGAAATGAGACCTCAACAGAGGCAGGGTGCAAAGGCACAGTGAGGCGACACGGGGTCCTGGCCATGCCACCCAGCGGGAGGGACCTTGGAAAGTCAAACCTCTGTTCTGGAGGGAGGCGGATGGACAACACTGTGGTTGGCGATCTGGCGCTGGGACCTTGCAAGGAGGACCTCCAGGTTCCAGCGGGGCGGCCAGATGGGGACTCCAAGCCCAGGCTCCAACAGATAGCTCTGCTGCTACCTGTTTTTGACTCTGGGAAACCCAGGTAAGAATTGGGCTGGAGAGAGAGTTCTCTAAATTAAAAAACTTTGAAAACCTCTGGACTCCATCCGTACATGAGTTAGGTTAAGAGGGTGGGCTCTGGAGTCAGAAGGCCTGGCTTCAAATCTCAGCTTGCTGTGTGGCCCTGGACAACTTACTATACTTCTCTGTGCCAGTTTACTTGTCTGTAAAATGCAGGTACTAACAGAACCAACCTTATAGGGTCATTGTGTAGATTGAATGAGTTATTTTTCAAATGAAGTATTTAAAACAGAGCTTTACACACAGAGGCAAACATTGGAGCTGCTATCCAGAGTTCTAGGTCAGGTTCAGCTATCTCATAGGAAGAAGAAATCCTGATTTCAGGAGGTGCTTGAATCCCTGCCAGTGCTCACAGTTATGAACAAATTCTTATGACTCTAAGGTAGGAATCACCCCACAAAACTCCCTACCCCAGGGCCTATGGGTGGGGAGCAATTTTTTCCCCCACATTAGAAGAGAGAAGAGCTAATAAACCCTAGCACACCAGGTACCTTTGGCCTAAAATATGTCCTCTTCATCCCAGGATGGGGCCATTACATAGGGCACAGGATTAAGCCATTGCCTAAGAATTTGAATTTAAAATAATGCACAGGCTTATATAATGGGAAGAGCCTGTGCATTTTAATAGCTGTGCAACTTTGGAAAGCCTCATTCACCAAATCTGTAAAACAGGGATAATCATGGTTCTACTCCACAGGGTTGTAATGAGGATTTGGTTAGATGACTTATGAAAGCAACTAGCATAGTGCCTGGCAAACAGTAAGAACTCAATAAATGGTAGTGCTATTACAATTAAAATGATATATAATATGATGTGATATGATATTAACCTGTGATATAATATGATAATAATTATTATTATTGCTTACCCACTCTTCTGAACAGAGCACACATGCATCAAGCCACTTCCCAGAGAAGGCAGAACAGGTCAAAGACAGCTCAGAACGCAGATAAGAGGGGTCAGAGCTCAGCCAGCACTTGTGTCTCACTACCAAAAAGTGACCAGTCAAGTTCATCCACCAAGTGGCTCAGCCTTACCAGCCCCCGGGCTCCTTGGAGACGTTGTGAATAAGGGCGCCACGGCAGAAGCTCAGCTCATCACTCTGCTTGGCTTTGTAGTCATACAGAGCTTTCACAGTTCTCTGAGGCTTTCAGGGAAAACAGAAAGGAAAAGGTCAGGACCCTGACACGAGCAGAGGGAAGCCTCCTCATTCACTAGCGCATTTGGTTTTTCTCTTTAGGGAGCAGTCTTCAGTCCAGGGTTACAGCCCCATCTGCTGGCAAAGTGCAAGCATTGCAGAGGCTCCATAATCTCAAAAAGTCGCCAGGGAGTAGGGATGGGGACTGGCCTGATCAGAACCAAGGGCACCCAAAATTGCTCAATTTCCTCAACAAAGAAAGGATATGGCTTTCAGATTAAATCACAACCAGCACCTCTGAAGTCCTCAGTGCCTGCGCTCAATATTCCTCCCAGAAGTTCAAACTCAATACCATTCCTGGACATCCTGGGCCTCACCAATATTTACCTAGGCTAAGGGTCCCCTAACTAGATTCCTGAAGGACACTGACATTTTGCAGGAGTAACTGAGAAACTCCTCCATGAAATCCATCAAAAGGTGATCATTGCACCGAGAGAAACAAGCCAGAACTTACTCAGAATAAAATTTGTCACCAATGAAATCTGTTTTAATGCCTGCTTGGCAAGCATAAATCCATGGCAACATGAATACTCATGCAGCAAGTAAATATTAATGGGAAAACCTCTGAAACTGTCAGACCTGTTTAGATCAGCCACATCCCCTCCCCCACCCAAGGGAAGGGGACTGGGTTTTACAAGGAATCCAGCAGAACGGCTCCTGAGAGCTGAGGCTCTGGAGTCAAACAAGGGGGTTCAAGTTACTGCTCTGGTCCTTACTACTACATAATCGTGAGGCTCTCTCAGCCTCAGTTCCCCATCTGGGAAATGAGAAGTAAAACTTTACATGCTTCACAGGGTTGTTGAGCCTATTAAACAAGATAATGCATATAATGACAAAAATGACATCTAACCTTATTCAGAGCTTACTATAGCCCAAAACACTGCTCTAGGCATTTTATCTATGGTATCTCCTTTAATCTTTCCAACAACCCTAACAAGTTGGGTAGCAGTGTCATTATGCCCATTTTACAGGTCAGAAAACTGAGGTACAAAGAGATGAAGTATCCATGCCTAAGGTCAACCAGCTGGCAGGTAACTGACTGCAAAGACAAATTAATTAACATAAGTCACTGCCATAGCTCCTGGATATTCCTTAAAGAGCAATCTAATGTGGGTTCTGCAAGTTCCACAGGAACTTGGACCAGAGGCTAACCAGGCCTCCTGCCCTTGTCTCCTCCACTGCAAACAGAGCCTGCTCTGCCTGTGCATCTTGCTCCAAGGGTGGCCATGAAAATTAGAGCCACATCTTTCCCTGTGAAACTCCACAGGTCACTGCCAGCCTCCAAGGAAGACACAGCCAGTGGCAGAAGTGGGGGTGGCATACAATGGCTTCCACAAGGAGCAATTCTCCAGCCTGACAGGTGGTCCTTCATGAACTGCCCAGAAACAAGCCACCCGTCAGATGACCAAGCAGGCACACAGCAGTGCGAAGTGGCTAAGAGCACACACCTCGCACCCAGCTGCCTGGGTCCAAGTTCTAGCTCCACACCTTTCTAGCTATGTGACCTTGACTTCAGTGTGCCTCAAACTCCTCATCTGTACAACGGGCACAAAAAATAGTACCCACTGTATGGGGCTGTTGTGAGAATTAATGAGCTGTCAAGTGCTTAGAACAATGCTTGATGTGTGGTCATTGACATGTTACCTATTATTATTGGTCTAGTCATTCCAGCTCTAAGATCTCATCTAAAGGAAATAATGCAAAAGATGCCCGGAGCCTCTTGCGTGAAGTCCATTTTAGGGTTAACCAGAAAAGCAAAGACCAGAAATGACTCACATGGCTGCTGATGGGGACACAGCTAAACTTGGCACAGCCACCCAGAATATCGTGCAGCATTGAAAACATTCTTTTTTAAAGTTAAAACTCCAAGCCATGTATTTCATCTAAATTCCTTGGCCTACCAGGTTACACAAAAACGGTCATGAAGAAGATTAGCGATGGAGAAGCCCACACGTGGCCGAGTGGCAGGTGAGCACAGCGGAATGAAGAGGACAGAAGCAGGTGGCGGGACGTACACACGCAGACCACCCGACAGGGATGCAGGCGGCGACTGCGTTAGGATGGTGGGACAAGGCTGATTGATTTTTCCTGTTTTCAAAATGTTTTCTTTATTGTTAATCATTTTTCAATCATAATAGTAATAATTTTATTTTGAGGCATTCGCCTCAGCTGAGCCGCCTGCAATCAAAATGCAGTCATGTTTTGCTTGCCTCGTGTAGTATAGGAAGACTTTTCTCTATAACTGAAGTTAGTTGCCAGGATTTGAAAATGTGGAGGTTCCACATAAGGCACATAAATTACTGGCCTATCTGGAGAAATGGGGAGGCTGGCCTGTGCTCTGGCCTGCCCATGGGAGCGGCTGCCCTTGAGGTGGGCAGTGTGCTCTGCAGGCTGCCACAGTCTCCACCATCCCCGCCCCCTGGCTGACAGGAGGCCACACCATCCTCGTAACTGAAGTGTTTGCCACCTCTAATAAAAGTCTTTGCTCCCAAGCTATGTCTCCGAACACATTTTGCACACAGCTCCATTTGCCAAAAACTGTTCAAGGCTTCGTTTCTTGCTGAAAGGGATTTGCATTGGCCAAGGATTCTAAGTTTAAAAAGTAATAAATGTGTCTCTGCTTTCCACAGAGCCCACCAGCGGGGCCCCTTCCTGATCAAGAACTTTACACCGTGTGCCAGATCGCCCTTCAGGCTGAAAATTCGCATCACTCTCCCTCTGCAGGCTCCAGCCACACCTGAGATGAAACCAGAGCGAGGAGGAGCATGGGGCTCAGAGTGAAATCCAGCCTACGGGCGGGTGGGAATACGAAACAGTGTTCGCACTGTGAGGAGGTCGGAGAACCAGGTGGAATTTACAAACACCGCCAACTCGTCAGGGAGCAAGAAACATTTCAAAAACTTTTAATTAGAAGCCATGTGGCTCAAAGGTGATTCATCAAACCTCAGAATTTTAGCAAGGCATGGTCACGTTACGAAGAATTCTATTAATCTCTTCCATGACACGAAATGTCATGTTGTCAATCATCATTTCCTCTTAAAAAAAAACAAAAAGAAAAAATATTTTTTAGCCAAGTTTCCCAAAATGCCCTGTGACAGCTGGGGTGTGGACTCCATGTCAATCTAGTGACCAGGAAATAGTGTGAATTAAAGGTTGAGACTGTACCATAGAAGGATTGATTTCACTGGGATCCACATACATTCTGCTGACGTCATACAGGGAGTTTATGTCTCTTTCCTGAAAAAGAACAAAGAAAGATGATGGAAGCATCCATGCTCCTGTGATAGCCCCTACACGGAACAAGGATTCCAGCTGCCCTTGGGTTTCCTGCCCTCTGGCAGAAGAGATGAAACCTCTCAGTTTAGTCCTGTCTTACGGGGAGAGACAGTAAGAAGCTATAAAGAAGTTCCCCCAAATGTGGAAACTTTTCTCCAAATTGAGAAAGGCCCTAACCTGGCCTACTGCGTGCAAGGCGCTGTGCTCCGCTGTTAAAGCACAAGCCCCGAGTGTGCTGGAGCGGCCGTATGTCTCTTCCTGACCCGCATCAGGGTCAGTCCCTTGAAACTGGCCACCGGGATATATTTACACCACAGAAATTGGCCAAGGCCACAAACCAGGTCTTCGCTCTGCAGAGAACTGGTTAAACATCTACTGCACACACTGAAAAGACACCCCACCCTCCCTCTGCCTCTCTTCCACTAGGCTCTGGCCACACCAGCTGACTCTCTGTCCTCAGAGTCACCTCAGGGCTTGCATGGTGGCTGCTCCCCCATCCAGAACCAGCTTCCGTCACAGCAACTGCAGCCAATTCACTCCTTCCTCTAGGTTTCTGCTCACATTCCAACCCTCAGCAGGAGGACTTCTCTGACCTCCTCTACCCAATCTAACGTAACACCCACCCCTATGGCACCATCCTGCACGATTTTCCTCCTTGTAATTCGCACTGCCTGACGACATCTTAATTATGTGCCCATTTGTCATCCAGCTCCCCTGACTAGAACCCAGATTTCCCAGGGCAGCCTTGTTCCACTGCTCTCTTGGGATCTGGGACAGTTCCTGGCACAGGGCAGGTGCACAATAAATCTCTTGCTAGTCAGTTAATAAACACACCTGATCGGGACTGAGACAAGGTAATCAGATCAGGTCTCTTTCCTGCTCAGGACCCTGCAATGGCTCCAAATAGAAGCCAATGTCTGACAATGGCCCCCCACCATGCAGGCCCCGGGTAACCCCCATTCTTACAAAGTTCTGCTCCCACCCAGGCTCACTCAGTGCCAGCCACACTGGCTTCCTCTCTGTGCCTCAGGCACGTCCTACCGCAAGACCTCTGCACGTGCTCCCTCCCACCACACAGCTGCGCGACTCACTCCCTCACCCCACTGCCGTCTGCTCAGAAGTCTCAGTGAGCTCTTCCCAGACCCCCTTGGGGAACCGCATCTGCATCACCCTGAATACACTTTTCCACCTTCCCGTTTGTTTTTCTTCATAGCACCCATGAGCCTTGCAATGCTCTGTATAATTTTAAATGTATCTCCTTTATTATCTGTCACCCCCACTCTAAGCAGCGTGAGGGCAGGGTCTTTGTCTGCTGTTTTCGATGCTGTACCCCCAGAACTGGAGCAGCATCGGACACACGGTTAAGTGCTCAGTAAAGGTTTGCTGAGTTAACAGATGAATTATAACCCCGACAAGACATTTCAGCGACCTGCACGGGAGTCGGACGCCTACCATGCTGTAGCGCTCCAGGAGCTCGGGAGTCACAGGGTAGCGCAGCTTCATCTTTCGGTACAGCGCATGCTTCTGGTAGTAACTGACGAGCTCCACCAGACTCTCGAAGTAGGCGGAGGTCCCCAGCACGAAGTGCCTGCCGTCCCGGTTGATGCGACAGTGCTTCACCTTGCCCTTGGCCCTGGAGGGGGAAGACCACAGGGGGGGCTGACACACTGAGATCCTGGCAGCCCAACAGCTGCTATACAATTCCCTCCTCTGGGAAACAACCTAGTCATCCATCCTTAGGGGACCAGACAATCAACAGGGCGCAACATGTCCACGGAATGCAGTGACGGGGGTCTTTTCAAAGCAGACACGGAAGAGTCTGCATCTAGGAAGGCACAGGAGTCGCTCCACGCTGGCTGCCCTTGCCCTTCCCTCCTCCCCAGCTACAGGACTCGACTTCGGGAACACCAGATCAGGGCTGGCAAACTATGACCCACAGGCCAAGTGCTCCCGCCCCTGCTTCTGTAAGGAAAGTTTTACTGAAACGCGACCACACTTGTTTATATATTCGTTGTGGCTGTGTTCCCTCTACAATGGCAGCATGGCATAGCTGCAACACAGACCATCTGGCCTGAAAGGCTTAAAATACTTCCTAGTCCTTTACAGAAAAGGTTTGCCAGTCTCTGCTCTACAACTCTGGGACTTCACGCCTAAATCCTTAAATCTTATCTCAAAATGGCCCAACTAGTCAACAATGGCATTTTCTCCCAAAACAAAGTGTCTTTTTTTTTAATCGTCACCCGAGCATATGTTTTATTGATTTTAGAGGGGCAGGGAGAGCGAGTGAGAAAAAGAGAGAAAGAAACACTGATGTGAGAAAGAAACATTGCCCGGTTGCCTTCCCTACACACCCCAACTGGGGACTGAAACCACAGCCTAGGCACATGCCCGGACTGGGGATTGAACCCACAACCCTCTGGTATACGGCACGACACTCCACCCCACTGAGCCACCTGGCTAGGGCAACAAGTCTTTTATTTCGTCACCCATTTCAAGCAAGAGGCAGAAAAAAATCCGTCTTACTAGCTTTTATCAGCTGGAATAGAAACATTTGGGAAGAGAACTTTTGACCTTAACTTTATAGCCAAGAGCATCTTTTTATTAAAACTGCCTAACAGCAGTTACTATGGGTAAACTACTCATCTTTTTAAAAATATGGCACCTTAGAGACATTTTTTATGGTTTTAAATAAAACTCACATTGTCTTTAAGCCATTTCTTCAAAAAGCCCTGTTAAAAAATGCTAGAAGACTTCTGTTTCAGTAGCTTATTTGCAGTGATATTTTAATAAGTTTTTTAAAGAAACACTGCTGAGTAGAAAAACAAGTTGCAGAATAAAACCACAGTATGATCCCATTTGTATTTTTAAAAACAAAACCCACTGCCCTTGCACAAGTGGTACTAAGCATTTTCCATAGGTGCACAACACACGTGTGTGTGTTTGTTTTTCTAGATGGAGACACTAGTTAGAAAGCTGTGCTCTCCACCAAAACAAGCACAGAGATAAACAGGACCACAAGGGGCTTTTGCCTTCACTGCAGTGTGTCTCAGTTTTTTTATAAGGAAAATATACTTAGACAATTAAAAATTAACTTTAAAGCTTTTTACAAAAGCCCCCCAGGGCAGGGAGGCTTCAGGATGCCAGGAGCTGGGTCAGGTTCTGGTTTCTTCCTTAGGCCGCTGCTCTGAGCCTGCTTCCTCACCGCGGTGCCGGGGAGCCACGGCACCTGTCTCCTGGGCAGGGCTGGGGCCACCGTCTGTCAGGTGACCCAGGGTAAGCCCTGTGCAATGTGTCCTGCACCCGGAGGGCACTTCATAAATGAAGGGCCAGGAAAGTAAAACGAGCTTCCCCGGGCAACAGAAGGAGAGGGAACAGGGCTAGAGCTGGGGTTTCAGGCATGTGTGTTGCTACAAGTCAGCGGCGGCCACGTTCTGAAGTCTCAGCTTCGCCAAGGAGCACCTGGTCCCACCAAGGGATGTCTCCACCCTTCACACCCAGACAACAACTTCACCTCTTCCCGAGGGTCTGAAAGCTTCTCCTCTGTTGCAGAAACCCACCCACAGGTCCAGCGCATGCTCCCAGGGGCCAGAACCGCGCCCAGCCCAGGAGAAGCACCTCACAAACATGTACGGGGAGGAAAAGGGCCCTGACCCGCGTTCTCCTCTGCCCGGAGCACATGCCCCTCCCCATCCCCCAGAGCCCTTACTCCCTGCCACCCTGCCTGACCTGTCTTGGTGGCCCTTGTCACACAACAGTGCAGTGGTCTGTTCACATGACTGCCTCCCAGAGGCAACGAGGGACAGCAACGTCCACCCCACATCCTGACCAAGTGAGTTTGAAAAAGTATGTGTGTCCAGAACAGGAGGAGGTCTTATTTTTTTTAAATCTTTACCCAAGGATATGATCTTATTTAAAAAATTATTGATCTGAGAGAGAGAGGAAGGGAGAGAGAGCAGAAAGGAAAACACTATTGTGAGAGAGAAACCGACCGGTTGCCTCCTGCATGTGCCCCACTGGGGGGTCAAACCCGAAACTCAGATACACGCCCGGACTGGGGATCAAACTGACCACTTTCTGGTGCACAGGATGACATTCCAACCAACTAAACCACCCAGCTGGGGGGAGGAGGGGTCACTTTTGACGGTTTCGATGACTGAGGGCTCCTGACAGGCCCGCAGCAGGTGAAAGCCAGACGCTCACCATCTCACACAATGGAAACAGCCTTCCCCACCTTCCTCTTCAAGACACGACCTGCTGGACCGCGTCTCCCCGACGGAGAGACTCACTCGGCCCACACTTCCTGACCGCTGCTGTCTCCCGGCCCACACGAGCCAGGAGAACACCGGTTAACGGCAAGGAACACTTGAGAGCAAGATGACATCTCCCATCCCCGCCAGAGGGCCGGCCTCGTGAGAGCAAGAGCAGGCTATTGTTGCCACTCCTGTATTTCGGGAGCCCCACCCAGAAACTAGCACACAGTAGGTGCTCACTGAACATTTACTGATACCTTAAAATTAAAAACTTGGGCTTTTAGGGTGCCTCCAATCTCATGGGGACGACAGACATGCAGACAGGATGGTGGACACACATAAACCAGGCACAAATCTTCACCTACATGGCTCCAGTGAACTGACCCCGACCCCACGGCTGGCTGAAGGTACCAATCAGCATCATGGCACCCAGCTCAAGCAGGGGCCAGTGCAGGTACATGACAGGATTCATCCTTTCTGCTGGACCCTGCCCTGGCCCCCCAGATAAAGCCACCTGCAAATGAGGCCACAAAGAGAGCAGCATGGCACACAGACAGCCTCCTGAGGACTTTCAAGTGGGGCCTGTGCCCAGGTCTGTGGGAGCCTCTCAGCAGGTGGCCCGCGGATCACACCTATCTCGGTTGTTTGAGCCATTGAGTGTGGTGTCTGTCACTCATACCCAACAGCATCCTGACTGACAAGGCTGCAATATGACCCCCAGCACCCAGCGTGGTGGCTGGTGCAGCAGATGCTCCATGAAGCCAGCCCAGTTCCCATCCAGGCAGAGGGGGCATCCCTGTGAGCTTTGGGGAAAGGGGCAAAGGGCAAGGCCAATGCCAAGAAGTGCAGGACCTCCCTGCTGGCAGCACAAAACACAAAAGAGCCACGCTGGCCAACGCCAGCACATAGTAGGTCCTTGGTAAATGGCAGTAATAATGACAATCATCCCCTACCTCTGACTGTGACCACACACGCACGTGCGCGCGCGCGCACACACACACACACACACACGCACACAAAGGCAGCTCGAAGATGACTGACCGCGGAACGGGAAGCCTGGCAGAGGAACCCAGGGGGCGGCCAGAGTAACAGGACCGAAAGGAATGGGGGGGGCCAGGCACACTGGGCCTGGTAGCCTCCATCACCACGCAAGAACATGGGCCCACTTCTACCACCTCCTCCCACATTTCATAAGAAGCAACCTGAATTTTCAAGTGAAATTTCTCAGTTTTTAACATCTCCATGCAGGCTGAGCAAAATAGCCACAGGGCCCGTTTGATCCAGTTTGAAGGCCACTTTTGCTTGAGACCTCACAGTGAAGAACAGAGGCTTTGGAGGGGAGCAGGCCCAAGTCGGAAATTCGGCCACGCTGTGTGGCTCCAGACAGCTCACTCTACCTGTCTGAGCCTCCATGTCCTTACTTGTAAAACTAGATCTACTCCTCACCAGCTACAGTGAAGGGCTCAACTGAACAAAGCCTCAAAGGCAGCCCAGCGTCTGGGACATTAGTTAGGAACGTGTACATACAGTAGCCAGTCTTCTGTTAGTATCACCAAGAATCCACTGGGGCTGGGAGGACGGAGGGACAGCGTGATGAAGTGGGTCTGGACTCTACCTCCAACACCCCACTGGTGGGAACTGAGGGAGCCCAGTGTCGTGGAGCGAATTAAAGTAGAGAAACACAGTCCTAGAGGTGGTTGGTCTATGCAGCCTTCTCACTGGCAGTGCTGGGGGGCAAGTAAAGCTGGGAGGAAATCAGATCTGTAACATCACTCATCTGGGCCACCAGAGATGCCTGGGTTTGAATCCCAGCCCCACTACTTACTGGCTGCATGTTTCAGCAAGTTACTCAACCTCTCTGAGCCTCAGTTTCCTCCTCTGAAAAATAACGATCATGATCACAGATCGTTAAGAATACAGACCAGTGCCCAGCACACTGAAAGCACATATTAATGTAGGCTGCTGCTGTTCTTATTATTGCTGTCACTATTGCTGGCCCTCTAGGGGGAGAACACTGAGCTAAATAAACTCCCACCTGCAGGTCCCTCTCTGTTCTCCATGCCTGGCCTTCCTGAGCCCCCTCAGGAGCACACGCAGCAGGGGAGAGCGTGCAGCAGGCTCTACCCCCTCCACCCCCACCCGCCGTGCCTACCTGAAGGTGATGGCATAGGAGTCGCTGCCTTCCCGCTTCCGGATGAGGAAGGCGCCGTCCCGGGGAACTCTCATCAGCATGTCCTCCGCTTCTCCACGGCTCAGCCCGTCATAGTACCACCTGCAGCACAAGGCCGGAAACGGCCAGATGAAGGGCCACCCACAGAGGAGGACATAAGGCACCTGAGGATACCTAAAGGCCCCAGAAACCACCATGGAAACCTGTGGGCCTCCCGTCCAAAACGCCTCTGAAGAGCGCATTTGTAAAAAGACCACCAAGATATAGCTGGGGTGAAAGGTTCATCTCATGCATCTGTTTGAAACATAAGAGAATAAACCAAACAATCTTTACCGCCCCCCACCCCTGCCCGCCTCTGAATTGCCAGTACCAGGGGCGGCACAGAGAAATGGAGGCAGAAGCCACAGTGAATAGCACTGTAGACAGGGGTTTCATTTATTTGTTTCGCTGGTCTTTGCGTACTTGTAAAGAAGTGAAATAGCAAAATCTAAAAGGCAATATTCTGTATGAATATAGACAAGAGAAATGAAAAATAAAGTTGCTGTAAGTTATGAGGCTTTCTTGGAATTGTGTACTTGAACAGCTTCCTGCTTAAAAATTTTTGTATTTGTCTTTGTCTCCAGAATTGGTTAACCCTTTGCAAGGCATTACTGATATTCACATTACCAGGTAAAAAATGAAGGAAAAACTTTATCATTATTTTTTCCTTGTTGACTGTCAGGACAAACAGGAACGATCTTTGCCAAGTAGAAAACATCACTGGGCCAAAATTAATCTGAAATTACTTTGGACCAGTTCAGAACCATGAAGATAAAGCAGAAGAAAGGAAGAGAGAAGAAAGAAATGGGGCAAAAGTAAGAGTATCTGGAAAGGAGTTTGGAAACTGTGGCCACACTGGGAACTTGAAGGGACCCCAGAGGAATTTGGGCCCCCACACACCCACAGGGAAGGCTTTTCTGATTGATGACCTCAATCGGCCGGGGTGCCTGCACCCAAGCTAAACCCACGGATGGGATGCCCCGGGAGCCTGGGCTCACGTACGGCTTTGACTCATGGGGGTTGGGGTTGGGCACGGGGTCAGTGAGCCGGAGCTCGAACTCGGCGCAGCGCAGGTGCGTCCCGCGGTAGTACTGGATGAGGGCGTAGATGCTGGGGAACATGAGGTTGTCAGTCAGGTAGTACTTCATGACCCCATCCTCCACGGTGGAGCGGATCCTGCAGTGCTGGACCCGGCCTGACCGCCTGCGGGCAGAGGGACAACATCAGTGCGCAGGCCAGGCCGGCTGGCCTTCCTGCACCTGGGCATCAGAGAACACAGGCTGGACCCGGAAGTGCAGCCTGGGGTCCTGACGCGGGGGACACTAGGTGTGGCCGCACAGGCCTCCCTCTGCTCCTAGAACAGAACCCAGGCTTTAGCACAGGCTGGTCCTTTTCTGGATTCCAGAACATTCTCCCTCCCTCTTCCACCCACTCTCCCCCTTTTACCTACATACTGCTACCCTGGAGCCAGAAGACCTGGGTTCAGATTCTGACCCTGCCACATGAGCTGTCCTCTCTGAGCTTCTGTATCATTATCCTAGTGGCCAAATGAGGACAGTGACAGCATCCACATCAGAGAGCTGCCCTGAGAGACGCCACACAAAATGCGCCTGGAATGCTGCCTGGCGTGTGGTACGAATGTGTTAGCTATCAGAGTTTTTTTGTATTTTATTATAACTTTTATCCTTCAAGTCTCAATTTAAACACCATTTCTTTCAGGAAGTCTTCCCTCACCATCACCCTCCCCCCAACACTACATGAGATTCCTCTCTAACAGACCCTCATAACATCGTGCATTTGTCTCACTGCACTTAGCACAACTGCAATCATGTATCGTTTGCGTGATTAATCTTTCATTGTCCATCTTCCCCACCAGACTAATCTCCATCAGGACAGAGACCCTGCCTGTCTGATCACTGCTGAAGCACAGTGTCTACCACAGAGCGAGCACTGGATAAGTGTCTTTTAATGAATGAAGGCATAGATGAATGAGCGAGTGAATGAGCGAATGCATGAGTGAATGAGAACTCGTGACAGCTCGACAAGACTGCCTTTAGAATGTCTGTTTTAGAGACAAGGAGCGGGAGAGTCCAGGAGGCCGAGAGAACAGCCAGGCTCATACCACCTGACCCAGGGCTGGGACTAGGGGAAGGTGAGTGAGGCCGCATTGTCTTAAGTGAAGAGTCAGATCCTGCTTTTATTAAAAATGTTGATATTTTCTTCATAGCCATTTTTTTACATTACTTTTGATTTTTTTTTAATATTAGTGCATTGAAATGTCACTAATTGTGATTACCAAGTTTTTGGGCCTCACCCACCACACCCAAGCCCTGCCCACACCTCTCACTAAATGAAGTCTGGGTTCTGGTCCGGGCCTGCCCACGTCTGGTCTGAGCTCCCACAACTCGCCACCCAGCGCCCCCATCCGCCCGCTGTGAGCAGGCGGCAGGCATGCCTCGGGCAGAGGGCCATTACCAGAAGGACAGGGTGTAGTCGTTGGGGAACCTCTCGCTCTCCCGCACCAAGAAGGTTCCGTCCTTGCCCCCCATCTCGGAGCAGTATTCCTGCAGCAGCTTCTCGGCACTCGTCCTCTTCTCCACCTTCTTGTGGAACCACTTCTCTCCAAAATGCAGCTCGGTGGGGGGCGTATCCTGGGCCACAGAGAGAGGAGGAGTTTCGGAAAACCTAGGCCAGACCCCCTGCATCATGAGACTGGTCCCTCTTCACACACAGATTCGGGGGGCTGAAAACAGACAGGCTGGCCTCGGCCTGCCTTCATCCCAAGACATCTGGAAAGACAGTTCCTGCTGCCCTCACCTGCCCACTAACCTACTCTAGACAGCCCCCCCAATCTGTGGTAGCCTCCTGAGACAAGGGTAAGGGATCCCCAGTGGAGCCCTCATGCTTTTGCAAAGGAAAGAGCAACACTCAAGAAACAGCACCAAGGATGGCCAGCAGCCTGAAGGGAAAGCTGGTGACCAGACCAGGGCACGGGGCCAGAGAAAACATCGAAACCCCAGTTTTCTCCAGGAAGCACATGCCCTTCAGACCCTTCAGAGAACAGGAATGACCATTGAATCTCATTGGTTAAGTCCTAGGGCAGTCAGCCAATCAGAGAAGAGCCAGGGAGGCCTGGGTACCCAAAGAGATGAGAGGAGCCATCTAGGTCTCCACCTACCTGGGGCACTTCTTCTTCCATGGTCTGTTCAATGTCATCGCTGAAGGACAGCTTGGCATCGGCGATGGCGCAATAGTGCCGAGTCCATTTCTAGAAAGTGCAACCAGCATTAACTTGTCCCCAAAGTATCTACCCATCGACTCAGGGGCCCAGAGTCCCTGCCTGGCAGCATCACCCTAGCATTACCTTGGGGCTCGCCTTTCCCACCTTCATGGACATTGATGGTGGTTCCATAAACTTCAACCCCCTTTTAGACACGTCTTTTAAAACATCTATTTACTTGGAGTTTCCTTCGGCATTTTCAGAACTTTTCTATTCAGTGTATCCAAGGGTAGATATGACATAATGCCAAGTTTCTATTTCATATTTAATTTGACACCGTTATGAATGATGGGATTGTTTTTATGTCCTCACAACTTTTTATTTATGACTGTTTTTCCATTTCATTCACTTTTTAAGACTTGCAGGATTTCTTAGTTTGTTTAGAGACCCTTTCTTCCACATTTCACTGTGACTCACTTCTCTTTAAATCTTAACCATTTTTAACGTTTATTTCTAGGACATAAGAATAGACACATAAAAATATACTCAAGTGGATTTGCATGTTAGATTATGGAATACGAGGTGCTGTGAGGGCTCAAAGTGCCTCTTATCAAGAAACAAGGATGGCCGTGGAACTGTCTCAGATTGGAAGAGACCGAGGAGTTGGGACAACTAAGAGCCTTGTTGCAGCCAGACTTGGTTCTTGGACCAGAAAAAGGACATTGGTGGACAAATCGGTGCTGTTGGAATAAGGCCCGTGAACGAGTTGGTACTGTGCCGATGTTAACTTCCTGGTTACAGTCACCACACTCTGATCGTGTAGGATGTTAGCATTTGGGGAATCTGGGTGCAGGGTATATTCTGTGTGGGTGTAAGTATATAGTATGTTATACTGAATACAAAATTATTTCAAAACAAAACATTAAAAGTGTACAAGAAAAATAAAGCTTCATTATAATGATAATCACTCGGGTCAAAATGGGAGGAAGGCAGGAGCCGTCCAGCAGGCCTTGGAGACGCTCAAGGCCTGGGAAGGGGCGGGTGCGCGGGGCTCACCTGGTCGATGGAGTCCCACATGTACAGTTCGCCCTGCTGCTTGTGCTCATCTTTCTTGTCCTCCATGTCGACGTCGACGTCGCCTCGGGGCCCCAGCTTCTTATGCTGAGGGGGAAGAGTACAGACCGCCTGTCCCCCTCAAGACCCCGGTCTAGCATGTTGGAGCCTGCAGGTGTCCGTCCGCAGTGCCACACAGCGCTACCGCACTGCCTGTCCTGCGGCCTGGCTCCTCTCTCACGACACCAGCTCTGCACTCTGTGTCACCTCCTCAGAGAGCTTTCCTCGGCTACTGGATCTGAAAGGAGCCCACACCTCCCTTCCCACCCCTTCATTCACTCTCTAGCCCTTGAGAGTTATTTTTCATACTCTCAGTCTATGTGTTTCTATGTGGCTATCAGTTTGCCTTCTATCTTCCCTGCTAGAGTGCAGGTCCTGTGAGGATCACGCAAATGGACCATTAAAAATGCTTAAAGGTTCCCTGGGACTTTGTTTCATTCCCTGTTGAATCTCCTGTGGTAGCTTAGCAGTGATTAAGAGCACGATAAATACTGAGTCCACGATGCCACCCACGTGCTGGGCATTCTCCCGTCCGGCGGGCGCGGGGCCTGCAGGGCAGCAGAAGGCACCCTGAGGATGGAGGGGGAGGGCACTGGGTGCAAACAGCACTGCCGCTGCTTTGTCGGCTGTGTGACCCGGGGCAGGCGGCCACACTTCTCTGAGCCTCCCACTGCTCATCTGTAAGACTAACATGATGATAAGATGCTCACCTGGGTGAGTACCGACTGACCACCCACCTGGACAAGCATTTGCAAATCCCAGGTAGTGGTGACCTGGTGAAGACAGTTCAGGATAGGGGGTCACCCTACTAGCTGTGTACCCTTGGTCGTGTGACAATTTCTTTCTCAATCTCAGTAACTTTCTCTGTCAACTGGGTGTAATGACATCCCTGTGGGTTCCTGTAAGCCAAGGGGCATGTAAGACACCTGTAAACAGCAAAGCATGACAGAAGGGGTCTGGCCGGCACAGCGTTGAATTAGTCTCTGAAAGGGACTGAGCAACCTCGGCTGAGTCAGTCACTTAACAACTCTGCACCTCAGCGCCCACACCCGCAAAGTGGGCCAGGGGCCCAGGCGAGCCTCACAGGGTTATGATGGGATGGGATAAGTAAACACGACTGTGCCTAGCCCAGGACTGGTGTGTGGCGCACACTGATTGTGTCATGAATGCTATTTCCATCCCCGTTCCCTGCAACAGGATGGGGTGAGCCATGAAGTACCACAGCTGGGGCAGTGGTTGTTCTAAAAGGGGACTTCGCACCCTAAAACAAGAGCGGGAAATCCCTGGGGACATGCAGAGAGCTGTCCTAACAGAAACAGAGGGCAGCGTCAAATGAGCCGGGAACAGAAATGCCATGAGGTCCCCTGAAGACTCAGTGACCAAATGCCTGAGAAGCCATGGACCCTCCTGGCCTCGGCTCCTGTCCTGCCTTCCCTTCATGTCTCAGACAAGAGTGCCCCAGGATCTCAGCCAAATCTTCCAAATACGCTGGTGCTTTTAGACCTGCGGGCACCAATGCCCCCTCACACTGATGGGTACTACTTGTTGATGGGCTGGTCTCCCCACTAGACCGTGACTTCCTGGCACATGGGGACTGTCCCCAGTGCATCTGCCTAATAAACACCTACCCCTCCTTTCAGATGAGCCTGCTGTGGTCCATGAAATCCATCTCACTCCTTCCACTACTGGCTGCCCAACTAGAGACTGCATATCCGAGGCTCCCTTGCAGGTGGTATGGTCGTGTGACCAGGTTCTTGTGCATTGAACAGGGCGGGGTGGGACGTGTACAGCTGACGTGTACACATTTACCGGAAATCGCTGCCCGGACCCCAGCACATTCCCTTCCTGAGAGCTGGAGCTCTACCACGCACACCAGGGCAGTGCCCTCGGGCAGAGCCTCCACCATTCGAGCCTTGGACTCCCTTGAAGCCTGTGAGAAGACTGAGGACCCCTTTCTCGAAATGTTTATAATGTACAAGATTACAAGACAGCCCTGGCCAGTGCGGCTCCATCGGTTGGACATCGTTCTGTAAGCAAAAGGTCACCAGTTTGATTTCCGGTCAGGGCACACACCTGGGTTTTGGGTTCGGTTCCCAGTCAGGGCACATGTGTGAGAGGCAAATCGATCAATGTCTCTCACATCAATGTTTCTCTCCCTCTCTTTCTCCCTCCCTTCCCCTCGCTCTAAAAATACATAAATAAAATCTTTTAAAAAATATTATGAGAAACTATGTTGAAATACAATTACTAGTATATGAAATAAAAAATACTTGCAATATATAAAATATGTGCTTTCTTTATTAATATCTTATATTAAGATCTAGAGGCAGTTCTAAGAACTGCCATAACTTCAAAGTGGCGACGAGCCCAACATTACTCAGAAATATTTGCATTAGCCGTGGCTGTGACATAAAAATATCCGTGATTTCTGCTGGCAGCAAAGCCCCAAGTGGGCTGTTGCCAATATTCATAATGGAAGGAGATGTTAAGTCTTACTTATAGGTTAATAAGGAGGCAACATTTTCCCCAAGTCCACACGTCACCCCTCCTGAGTTCTATCTGTGGATTCCTGGGGGACTGTGGAACCCCAGCTGAAAGCCCTTCCCTAGGAGACTGTAGAACAGGACCTGGGGTCCCTGGATGACCTTGTGGGCCAGACTTGAGAGCTTCCAAAAGCTTCCAAAACACTCTCTTTCTGATGAGGAAGAAATAAACCCTTACATGCTTCGAGCCGCCATATGCCAGGTTTCTCTCTCCTAGTCGTACAACTGCCTGTCCGTGGCGTCCCTGGCACTCTTGGGCACGGCAATCACTCATCTCTCCAATAGCACCTGGCACACCACCCATGAGTGTACTCAGCCCCTTGGAGCAACTGTCCACCTCCAGTCCACCTCCCACACTGGACTGGGAGCTCCCAAGGGTAGGAGCACCCCTAGCACCTTGCACAGGACTGGAAAGGGGCGTGGTGAAGGTCTTCCCAAAGAATGAATGAGTTAATAGTTACATAGCACTGCAATGGCGCAGGTGCAGTTCTAAGCACACGGCACACTAACCATGTGGGTGGTTATTATCCACCCCCAGACCGACGAGGACATACAAGCACCAAGAGTCTAACTGATCTTGCCCAGGATCACAGATTAGTAAGGACAGTGTCACGAAGCAGGGCAGTGGGACCTGGAGCCTGGCGCTGAGCCTCGGCTCCCCTGAATAAATGACGGCAGCCCAAGCCTGCCTACCTTGATGATGATCTTTTCCCGCAGCTGGCTGGGTGAGGGCAGCTGGTCAGCACTGGCCTCCGTGGGCTTCATCAGCAGCAGGTCACCGAACACCTCCTTGAACACTCTGGCCATGTAGCGCTGCTGTTCCACGCCACAGTGCTCCTCGATGGACAGGACCACAGGGAAGCTGCAGGTGGCGGGGGCAAGGAGGCGGGCCCTCCGTCTGAGCCTGCCTGGCAGAGCAGCTGCTGCCCCACCCAGGCCAGCCCAGCAGAGGGGCAGGTGGACTCAGCGTGGGGAAGCTGAAGTCACTGAAGAGCAACATGGTTTCCCAATGCCAGTCTCCTCCAGGCTCTGAAACAAGTCAGTGACTTGTGCTCTTGGCCTGTAGGGGGCGCCATCAATCAGCCAAGGACTTGGGAGTGACTTAGATGAAATGCAGGCTGGTATATTTTTTGTGTCTCTGTGCGTTCTTGAGTGTGGGGATAGGGAGGGGTGTCTGTCTGTGTGTTCAACCTTAGCTGTCTTTCCCTTAAAGGTGAACCACCTAGAAATCAGACAACTGACCTTGAGGTGACAAAGGCATGGTCTTTGATGGCCTGCACGACATCATCAAACTTGATCTTGGTGGTCCGTGTCCAACCATGGTAGATGATGGGCTTCCCTTCGGGCCCGTCCCAGCAGTCCACTGCGGGGAGAAACATGTGGCCTCACCACCGGTCCGCCTCTTGCCACCTCACAAGTCCACTGACAGCAGACACGTGCCCGGTCAGCTAGAGATCAGCCCTCACCCCTGCACCAGCTCAGTTACTAGTACATGGGGACAAACCTAATCATTGAACTTAGGGGCCACCACCATGAAGACAGGTGTCACCTGTGCAGTTAGAGGAAGATTCTGGCTGTTTAAATAAAGGTCCCTTTGTAATTCAATACATTTGTCAAAAAAAAAACTATTTTAAATGTTTCTCTTCTAAAGAGATATTTACGTTATGTTTTATTTTCTGATTTCACTTGTCTGAGTCTTGGCTTGCTTTTCCTGTTGGTAGAAATAACATGCAGCGATGTGAAAATTTATTCTGTAAGGTTCAGAGAAAAATATTCAGACAGAACTGGATTCTGTAGGAGGCGAGCACCCCTGTACGTCACCCCCGAGGTAACGGGGGCAACAGTGTCAAACTTCATTTTCTCACATTCGCTCTTTCCCAAGACGGGAAAAAGTATAAAATAGGCAATACTCTGTAGGAATAAGTGCTGTTAAAGTCTGATACCATGATACTTTTTTAAAAATAAAGTTGGAGCCTAAACCACTGATGATCCTTTTCCCGGCCTAACACACCTGTGCGCCTCTGGCAGTCGAGTCAGGCCAGGGAGTAAGAGATGAGGACATGGGAGGAAGCAGCTGGACCCTGGGCGCGTCCAGGTGCCTGGAATCACCTGTCCTGGGGTGTATGTGAGCAACCGTGACAAGAATGATCAGGATGGCATCCAGGGCTGGGCCAGCTGCTAACACTTGAAGGGCATTCATTTGCCTTCCTCTAAAAAAAGCCCTGAAGGGAACTGAGGGAGAACAGAAGGCCAATAAAGCCATCTCTGCTGCCAGCCTCCCAGGCCTTCCATTGTCAGGCCACATCCAAAGATGTGAATGTCAGGACGCCATCTAGATGGGTTTGGGGCCCTACCCGACCAGGCTCCGGGTAGGTGGGGACAGTTTTCTTCTGGGGAGAGGTCCCTGCCACTGATGGCCGCATCCCTTACCCCAGATGCTACAAGCACTGGTGTCTCCCTTAGCCTGTCCCACCCACCCCTACTATTCACCTTTAAAACCAAAAAGCATCCAACTGCAGGTGGCAGAGGTTGGCCAGCTCAACAACAGGGACTCCACTGTGCCTACCCCGCACAGAGGTAGGTGGGCTCAGTAAAGGGGAGCAGAGGTCACTGAACAGCCAATATTTTCCTGGCCTCAGCCTCCTCCAGGCTGAGGGACCAGAGAGCAACTGGGGCTCTTGGCCTGTAGGGGGCGCCAACACTCAGCTGAGAAACTGGCAGGGACCATGAGCCACTGTTAGAGGAGGGTGTTACCTCCACCAGGAAAAGGCTACTCACGCTCAATGCACCGACAGCCCATGCGCAAACAGCGGATGTATGCCTCTGTGGACGACTCACTCCGCAGCTGGTCACCTGTGAGGTACCTGAAGGAGAGAAGGCGGGACTGCAGAAGGTGTCCGTGGGGAACTTCTCAGCCCAAGCCCCTAAAGGCCTGAGTTCCTCCTGGCTAGAAAGACCCAGGGTTAGGATCTGGGCCGGAAACTTGCCGTTGTATGGCCACACCTTAGACTCAGGCCACAATCACAGGATGTGAACAGTAAACCACCTTGGTAATCCGTGCATCGGGTTGAGACCATGTCTTCTTTTGAGAACTGGGTCAAAGGGTGTCAGGAGTGAGATTTACAGCACATGATAAATGAGCAACTCTCCCCTGGCTGCCCACTGGCCCTCAGTCTGAACAGGGCAGAGACGGGCCATCATTTTGATATCAGGGAATCAGGCACTGAATAAGTGATCAACAACTACTGGTGGAATTTACTATGTTGTGAACTACATGCATCAGACATAAAAATATGTATTTTTATGCACTCTCCTCTTCCTCATGTTCCCCTTTAAGAGTTTGTTCTTTCGTTGTCTTCCAGGTTTGACAGAATTCACCACTCCCTCTTACACCAATGGATGTAGTAGGGAAGAGAGAAGCATGAAACCAATTTGCCTCTGAAATGACTTTAGCTTCCAAAATGGCTGGAGATAAGCTCAAGGGCCTGGCCAACCCCTGACTGGAATGGCACTTGGGAAAGCACCAACCTACAGCTCCTGGGGACCCAAAAGCCGAGGCCTTCACCCTCTCACCGTATAAGGCAGACTAAATACTGGAACTTAAGTGCAATGTCGTTTCTCCCTTCCAGTCTATTTTCTGTTTTGCGATCAGGGTCCAGGGTAATCTTCCAAAGATGTAAATTTCAGCATGTTGCTCTCTGGCTTAAAAGCCATCAGTGGCTCCCGCTGCCCCTGCTGTCACTTAAAGATTCCACTCAAGCTGACCCCACCAACCTCCCCTCCTGCCACACAACACCTCCTCCCCCACCCCGGATTCCACAGTCTAGTATTAACAGACCCCTCTCAGTTCCTTCTGCCCCTGGACCTTTGCACATGCGGTCCCTCTGTCTAAAACCCTCTTTCTCACTTCACCACCTGCTCTCCTCTCACCAACTCCTATCCTTTGTGAAGAGTCAAAAGAGGTCTTTTCCCCTCCAAGCACATGGGAACAGTGCTACTCTGTCCTGCCCTGTTTACTGCTACCTGTCCAGTACCCAGTAAGCACAGGGGAGGCAGTAAATACCAGTTCAACGACCCATTCAATTGCTACTCTGAGATGCCCAAACTGTGAAAACACCAGCTTTGCTGACTGACTGGCTTTTCAGGGCCACAGAAAAAGGATGATCCTTGTAATGCCACCCCTTCCAGAAGCGCTTGTATATTCCAGTCTGCGCGGTGTGCAGTGTGGCCCTGCACTCTGCCCACGGGCTTTGCCAAAGCAGTGCACTGGGATGCCCGCCATATCACCCGTCACCTGCAACCCCTCCCGGGCTGGTGGCAACACTCACGTGTTATGTGACGAGGAGATCCAGTAATGAGACAGGGGGTTGTTCATGTCCTGCATGTCCACCACGTCGTACTTCTCATCCCAAATGCTGTTCTCCCGTGAAAACAGGTACGTGAGGAACTAGTGGGGTCACACACACAGAGACAGGATCACCACGATGAAGACAAGGAGGGAGGATAGCTGGTTCGTTCTGGTCTGTGCGGCACAGGGAAATGGCAGCTCAGGGACAGCAGGAGGTCTCCAGGTTTCCTCGCAGAAACTCATGCGACAGGCTGTTCTGACAGGTTTCACTGATGACAGGGTTTCCTTTTTAATGTGGGCCCTAAAATATGCTACTACAAGAATATGTGCTTCCCGTATATCATAGGTTTTAAGGTATAATAATACCAGAAGCATTTGTGAAACCACCAACTTGATAAACAAGACATTAACAGTATCATAACATTTAAAAGGCAGGAAATGTAATACCCCAATTCTTTACCCCTTTAAAAAAAATTGGAAGGTTGAGTGACACTGGGGTAACACTCTGCTTTCTGGGAACAACGTTGCAGGGCACAGGAGATGCCAGTTCTCCTCAGCCTCACCGCCCCCCCTGCTGCCTCGCTCACAGCCAAGCGCAACTGTTAACAACAGCTCACAGGAACCCCGAAACCTCTGAATTTGGTGTGCCTACCATGCTCTCCCTGGCAGCGAGCGCCCTCTGGTGGTAAAAGCAAGAAATGCACTCCGGAAACAAGGTCAAGGAGACAAGGACGAGGGAAAGACTGGAAGAAAACCAGCGCTTGTGGAACAGCTCACAAGAAGCCCACTCACCTCATCAACAAATAGGAAGGGCTCCGCAGTTTCCCTCATCGTGTCGTCGATAAACTTTGTCATCCTCTTGCGGACTCTGTTCAGATCCTGAGCCCAGAGCTCCTTAGAATGACAAAGAGAACAAGAAATCACCGAGATGAGGACTGGCAAAAAAGTTATGTCTGACCATCACGGTGACTTGCCTGGTGGACCCTGGGCAAGCCACGTACCCTCTCTGCACTTCCTCATCCACTCCGTGGGAGTAACAACATCTGAGCACAATTTCTGTGAGAAGGTGTGATATAAAGTAACTTCACTGTTTTCCTCTCCAAACCCCACAACCTCAAGTATTCACCAGGCAAACGGAGAAAACAGGACCCACAGACTCGACTTTGGCTAATGCTTTCTGGATTCAGAATATTCTAAAGCCTCTACCGTTAAGCAAAGGTGCGATGTGCAAATGTGCAACTGGATGTGTGCAACTGGATGCGTGTGTGGTTGCACGGGAAGAGGCAGAGTAGGATGCATGAAAGAAAGCAATGCTGAAGGGCAGACACAAATGAGGTGGTGGAGACACAGCCTCCCCGGAGGGTGGCTGCACATGAACAACGGGCCTCACTGTTGAGTCTTGCAAATCTATTTGTATAAGGGACACAAAACAGCGAGGAGACTAGGGAACAGCCTGTTCATTTGAATATGGAGGTGTTGAAATCTTTGCATACTAGAACGTGAAACTCAATGCAGGACATGTCATGCCAAGGCCTTGCCAGGCTCTGATGTCCCCAAAAGAGCAGACGCTTCCTCCTTCCTTCTGCAAAGCTTTCTCATGAAAAGCATGGGTGCTTAGCTGACATAGCCTGGATCTTGATGACTGCCAATAAGGACTCTTCTGCCTACCCAGGCCAGTGTGGCTCAGCTGGCTGGAACCTCATCCCCTAGACCAAAAGGTCACAGGTTCACTTCCTGGATGGGGCACAAACCTAGGTTGTGGGTTCCATCCCTAGTCAGGGTGCTTACAAGAAGTGACCAATTGATGTTTCTCTCTCACATGGATGTTGTTTTTCTCTCTCTCTCTCAAAGCAATGCTGCCTGAAGTTCAAAATACAAACTGGGGGTTAAAAAACACATCTACTTGGTAGGGGGTACTGTGCTAGGACTCCACACTAATGAAAATAAGAACGATGGGGACAGGAGTAGGACGTGGCGAGGGCGGTCACACTGGGTGCAGACTGCACACCAGGCTCTGCGCTAAATCTTTTCATGTAGTGGCTTCCTGTGAACCACACAGCCCCAGAAGGCACATATTAGTTTCATTATATAAATGGGGGAACTGGGGTGTCAGGTCATTAAATAAACGACTTGACCCAACATTGAGCTTGGGACCAACTCAGGCACATCAGTTTGGAGGTCTTTGTCTTAACCCCCTTTCTACAGAGTGACCCCTCCCTCCCAGGGCTGGACTCGGGGAGACTTAACCAGTCCCCTGATGGAGATTTTGATCTGTTCCAAGTTTTTACCACTATTGAAAATGCTGCCATTGTCGCTTTAGGATAAGTTTCTAGAAGGGCAATTATTTAATCAAAGTATATACCCTCTTTTCAAAGTTTTCATTTTAATTGTGTATTTCCTAAGTGCTTTCTAGGAAAAGTTGTACCAATTGGCACACCAAGTGCTACAGTGATTACCCCACACGTGAGCACCCATCACACCAATCAAATGTCCTAGATGACTGGCTCCATTCACAGCGTCACCTCACAAAGCACTGGGCACATGGGACAGTAAGGGTCAGCCAGGCCATCACGCAGATGCTCATGGGCTGTCTCACACGTGAAGAGCTCCTGCAATTTGCTCCTGGTCCATGTCCCCGATCTCTGAGGGCAGTCCAGGGAAGGGGCCAGGGCAGTGGAGGGAGCCTGTCATTCTCCCCTGTGAGAAAATTAAGCAGCACTAGGTGGCAGATTCTGGGATATAAGGCTTCTTGTCCCCAGGAGGTTAGCCATGTAACTGCTGACAAGAAGACAATTCTGAGATGTCCTAAATTAAATGACCACAGACCAGAGTACACAAGAAAGGGACAAGAGATGTCAATGGGTTAACTGCAGGGCAAAACCAGCAAAAGATTGCTTGCATCCTTAGTGTATGTTGAAACCTTGAATTTAATTACCTTCCAGGTAGCTATTCCACCATTATCTAAAGAGGACTGTAGTAGACCGCTCTGCCTGATTTTAGGAATTGTATCTCTACCCCTTGTCGCTAAGGGTGAGAGACAACCTTTGGAATGCCAGCCACAGGAGACAAAGCCTGTCTCTGGTAGCAAACGCTGCCTCAGTTCCTCTCCCTGTCCCCAGAGCTTGGTCGGAAGTCAATGACGGGTAAGACCCCTCACAGTGGGGGGCAACCTAAGCCAGACTGGATCACCTGGGAGGCCTTCATGGAAGGACTCTGGGGGCTGCAACAAAGAGCAATGGACTCTTGCCCCCCCCCCCAGCTTTGACAAAGCCTAGTCTCCATGTCCTCTGGGAGAAGCCCCTCCTGGCTCTAATCCCCTTAAACCTGAATACCTGTTGGGGAAAGGTGCAGCTCCTTGCCTTGCTAGAGCATGTCCTGGGGGAAATCTGGCATCACAAAGACTTGCTGATTAACCTGCGATATCTGCTCTGCTAAGAGTGCTTTCATTCATATGATAAGGGTCGGAGAGGAAATGAGTATGTCTCCCAAAGTTTCTGCAACTCTCTTCCTGACAGACTCTGACTCATAGTAAGCCCTCAGATTTCTTTGAAATGTTATCTACTGTTTGATCCCTACCGCCTGTATTCCTGTGTATTACAACCCAATAAAAGGCTATGGAAGAGGGCGCTCAGGGCCTTTTTGTCCTCGGAGAAACTGGTCGCTGCTGGCCTCTTTCTCCCCAGAGAAACTGGTCACAGCCCACGCCTCCATCCCCAAGCAGATCTCATCATGTCTCGGCCATATTTACTCACTCACTCATGTCCGTGGCACCGGGGGGACCTCGAGAAAGTGGTCGACTCCGCGGAGGACAGCCAGGTGCCACTGACCACCAGGCACCTCTGCTTCTCGCTTACAAATGAACTTCCTGGGCTGTTGCCCACCACCAGTCCCAAGGCGCACACACCTCTTCCTTTTGGACTCTGCCCCTATCCCAGAACGAGCCCTCTTCACCTTCTCCCACCCCCTTTATCTGTAGCCAGTGGAAATTCTTTCAAAGCAACTTCGATCCTTCTTCCCCACGCTCTTTCCACAGAACAGCTCATCAGCTCTGGACCGCGGACGTTTGTCCCCACCAGCCCCGCCACTGGTGGTGCAGACTGGATGCCCCAGGACCTGGTCCTTTCCTGACCAGCGTTCGGACAAACCCTGTCTTTCCTAAAAGCTTTGGCCATGAACTTTTTTTCTTGGTTTAACATTTCAATAGCTCCCTACTAAAGTGAGCGATTCAGTGCAAGGAAGAGTATGGCAAAAAGAAAAAAACAATATGTCTCTCTGCTTCACTGTATTGGCAGCTCAGTATTGAGCGAGTAATTGTGCCAAAGAGAACTGATTTATCCCCACTCGTTTCACTCCCCCGTGGTGGTAGCTCAGGCTGAGCAAAAAATCCTTCTCTTGGTCACTCACATTCAGCCCCCACATGGAGAAAGCATGACACCTCGTCCCCTCAGACACCATTCATCGGGTTCCAGCAGGTAGCACCACCGCAGGGCCTCCGGGCGGCTGACCTGCGCAAAGTGCATGCTGTGTGTCTTTTCATTACTTTCTCTACGGCCAAAGGAACTGAACATGGGCTGTGCATTGGATGACATAAAGAAAGTAGTGTTCACTGTGCAAGGCATAATAGGAGTGGTACGCTTTTTTTTTTTAAGAAAAAGAATCCCATTTCGTAAGAGAGGCATGCTGACTATTAACAAGTGAGATGATACATTGACTTCATGATCCATTACAAGTTTACTTTAGAATTTCCCAGAAAAGAAATAGAGAAGGGAAAAGGGAAGGGAGGCACAGCAGTGTGAGACGCAGGACAGATGTACTAAAGTTGGCAAATGCTCACAATTTTTAAATTGGAGTGATGGGTACATGGTGGTTCAATGCCAGCATTGCACCACCATGTTTAAAACATTCTGAAATGCAAAGATGTTTAAAACACAAATTAAGGCCCTAGCTGGTGTAGCTCAGTGGATTGAGCGTGGGCCTGCGAACCAGACAATCGCAGTTCGATTCCCAGTCAGGGCACATGCCTGGGTTGCAGGCTGGTTCCCCGCAGGCCAGTTCCCAGCAGGGGATGCATGATAGGCAACCATACATTGATGTTCCTCTCCCTCTCTCCTTCCCTTCCCCTCTAAAGATAAATAAATAAAATCTTAAAAAAAAAAACACACAAATTAACTGAATATTGTTATGAACCTAAAACTGCTCTTTAAAAAGTCTATTAAAAAACAAGAAATTAAATAAAGAGAAAATGTAAATGAAACTGCAGTGGTATAAACACAACATTGAAACAGATATGTAACTGTGCGTATAGATACACGTAGGTACACACACAAAGCTCGATACAATGTTCTGACCCCCACGGTTCTGGGGGGGGGAGGGGGGAGCTCTCATCCCCATTTAAAGAGAAAACGAGGGCACAGGAAGGTCAAACTACCTGCCCAAGGTCACATAGCTAGTAAGAGGATCTCAGTCTTAAGTTGTTCAACCGGGCACTGTTAACACTTGGGGCAAAGTAATTCCTTGCTGTGGGAGGCTTGACCTGTGCATTTGAGGATGCTGAGCAGCCTCTCTGGTCTGTACCTACTACACGCCATTAGCACCCCGAGCTGTGGCAACCAAAACTGTCTCCAGATATGCCCTGGGTGGCAGAACCGCCCGGTGGAAAGCCGCTGCCCAGCACCAGACTTTGACTCTGCCACCAGCTTGCAGCCCGTGCATAAGCACTCCCAGAGACCTCTCACATGTCATCTGTTAAAGGACAGCTGTACTACCATACCCCCCAAGGACCGGGCAGGCTCACTGCCTTAGTCACATCCTCTATCGGCCAGAGCTGGCTTCCTGAGGAAGTGACACCTAAGCTGAGCCAGGAGAAGCAGCAGAAGCCAGCCAGGTGAGGACACCGCTGCCTGTAGGCCATTGCCCTGCCTGCCTGCCCTGGAGAATCTCACTCTCCCCTCCCTCAGTTTGTGCCTTGAGAAGGAGCTACAGAGAGGCTGTTCTCATTCCAGAGTCTGTGACAGCAAAGTGGCATTGGTCAGGGAGACTACAACTGTTTCATGACTACAGGCAGCCAGGCGAAGGCAGGTGGTGAAGAGGTAAGAAACCATGCAGGTAGCTCCCCCCGCCCCCACCCTGTTTTCTCTCACCTGCTGCTCATGTAAGAGAAACCGCTGGAAGTCGTGCAGGTGCACAGCGGAGGCGTCCGGCCGGTCAGTGTTCCTGCCCTCGGGGAAAGAGAGGGTGTTCAGAAAGGCACACGCCTCAACAGTCAAGAGGCCATTTCTGCCAGCAGGCAGCCTGCCACCTGGACACCCTGCAGGACCCTCCCCAGTGCCAGGCACAGGCTTGGCAATGGGAAGACGAGGGTGACCTACATGACATTCCTAACCTACAACAATTCCAAGAGGACGCAGAACCCCAGAAGGCAGTCCAGTTCAGCTGCTCCTGGCTGGCTCCCGTGCCGGGAAGGAGGAGGGAAGGCAAGGACTTGCGTGCATGAAGTGGATGCTTGGGTGGGCTGGTGTGGACGGCACTCTGGGGGAACTAGAGAAGTGACTGGGGCCACATCAAAGTGCCCTCTCAGAAGCCACCATCCAGAGTTCGCTCTGAAGCAGGAGTGGGGCCAGATGAAGCCCCCTGGACTCTGGGTGGATGGGACAATCAGCTGGAACATGCAAACCTCCGGCCATGGGGCCAGCAGAGGCCTGCTGTTGGGAGAATTTTCCATTTGACATGAGAGAACGCTTCACCCTGAATAAGGGGAGACTCCACCCTGACTGGAAGCTTGCTGACAGATGGGCTTGGGGAGAGGATGTTCATTCATGGCCATCAAAAAACTTGGGAACCTCACTGGATGGGCACAGGCAACCTTGGCCTCTATGGAAAGTACTCTCTGCAGAACAAAGCTGTCCAGGAAAACTTGAACTTGTCTCTGAGCACTTGCAAGCAGGGTGGGGTGGGGTCTTTTTAAAATATAGGAGATAAAACATACTTTAAACTAACTTTCTTTGCTAAACACTCATGGACCAAAAGTGTTTATTGTGTTTATTGTCTTTAATCATTGTGTATTTCTAACCTTCTTTGCTAAACAGCCTTCTAAGTTTGCTTCATATCTTTTCATTAATACCTTAATCTTTTCATTATAACACTACGCAAACATCAGATATGTTGTTTTTTTTTATACACCCTGAAGTGTTGAGGTATCTTGTCTAAAATGTGATAACAGGAATAATTGCTGAGTGTCTACATCAATGAGGGCTGGTCCCAGAAAGCCAGCCCAGGTCACCAAACAGCAAATCATGTTTGAGGCACTATTAGCTCCATGGAAAACCTTCCTCCCGGGCAGACAAGCTTGGGAAACACGGACACTCACTCCACCAGCCCGCTACTTGGGGAACTGGCAGGACAGTGAAGGCCCTGATAAGTCCTGCAGCACTTACTCTCTGATAACATCATTATTCCGTACAGGGTCCTTGATGCACACCTTGTGAAGCACTTTATATGCTTCAACTCACTTTAATTCAGTTGAAGCTGCTTCATCAGGGATTTCCCAAATTCACCTGGCCACTAACATTGCTTTAACTTGTGTAAAAGCCTACTCACCAGTCATGTTCTACAAAGCACACTCCAGGAAATCAGGCTCTAAAGGCATGCAGGCTTCTCTACAGAACCTTCTGGGCTGCCCTCCCAACACTCCACCGACTCTGCTGCTACTGTTCATGCTCATCCACGCCACAGGGGTGGTATGGCCAATCCCCGGATAGCAGGGCCCCCGCCCACTCCCCTGCCCGTGCCCGCCCACAGAGATGACCCTGCAGAGCCAGCCAGCCACACTGCGGCTCCATACCCAGCACGCCCGCCCTGCACAACAATAACCCAGAAGGGGGGCCTCACCCCAAGATGAACACGGAGGAGTCTTTTTTGAATTCGTCAAGAATCTGAAATAGAAAAGAGAAGGCAAACACACAAAATAAGAGCACCAGACAAGTCAAGCCACTTAATGCAAAAGAACAGATTCTGGGCGTTAAAAAATTCACAGTATAATTTGTGTGACTTATTAATGCAAATGAACAGAACTTTTTTCTCTCAAATTATCCTGTAATTTGTGTGACTTATAAGTATTCAAATACAACCAGAACTTAAGAAGCAAAAGGCAGAAGTCTTCCTTGTCTTTTTCGTAAGTCTCTATCACTCTTAATAATTTAGTAGGTTTCCTTCTAGGTGTATTTATGGGTATTAGTCTAACTTTATCTTATTATATTACATCATGTCTCCCAACTTGTTGCTGTTGGTTCAAGGTTAATATATTCTACAACTTCAAATAGTCCTGCCTCATTAGTTAAAAACCCACACTGTATTCTATAACTCAGACATCACCGGTTTTCTATTATATCCAGTATTATAAAGAAGGTCCTCGTTACATCCTTATCCACTTGTGCCGGCATTTCCATTGGGTGCGTTCCTAGCTGGAAAGGCACCTAGACATGAGGTGTGCACGTGAACTTCAGTAGATTCCATCAACTGGCTCTCAAAACAGTTGTGCCGACCAGCACCCGCACCGGTAAACACACAAACTCTCTGCACCCTCACTGCTATATTTCAAATCCTTAACATTTCAGAGTATTGAATTAAAGTATTTAAGGGACGATTTCTACGAGATCGTATGAGAAGAGGTGTGGATGAAATAAGACGGCCATCAGTTGACTGATCATTGCTGAAGCTGGCTGAGGGCTGCGTGAGGGTTTGTGACGCTATTACCTCTGCCTGCCTATATTTCAATTTTTCTTAATACAAAACTTTAAAAAATTAAAACCAGTGACCAGCCTCTGAAGGTGGGCATAGGAGAACATGAACCCTAGCTGCAGCTTACTAGTGCATGACCTCCAGGAAGGACCCTGTTTGCTCACCTGTAGAACAAAAGTACCTGTAGAATAAAAGTACCACTATTAAATATTTAATGTATGCAAAACACCTAGCCCGACACCCAGCAGAGAGCTCACACTTAGAAAACGTTAGCCATGATCTGTGTACATAATATTGTTATTACCGCTTAGGGAAAGGCGTGTCCCCTCACCAGGGGGACACACATGGAATTACATTTCTTATCTTCCTGCTGCTGCCTAACTTTTAGAAGCTCTGAAGCTTGAAAGCAGCAGCATAAGCAGGTGATTAGATACAAAGAGGAACTGACAACCTCAGGTTGAAAACCTACAGCTATTGATGAGTAGGAACCCACTCCCTGGCTTTAGGTCTAGGGGTCATTATCAATCACCATCAATAGCCCTGTCTCCCCAAGGAGCCCAAGAAACCCAGCTGAGCCCCTAAGAACACATGACTAATACTTTTCTCTTCGCGCTGCTCCCAGGGAGAGCTCAGGAAGTAAATTATATGCTAACAGTGAGGGGAGGGGCATTTACCTACCACAAGAGCAGTACTGTTTCTCCAGCCAGCCAGTAACTATCTACAGAGCTTGGGGCTTTGTTATGCAAACTCCAAGTCACTGAATTAATATTATACATGCGGTGGCCAAACCAGACTCCAAGTCACTGAATTAATATTATACGTGTGGTAGCCAAACCAGACTCCAAGTCACTGAATTAATATTATATATACGTGCGGTGGCCAAACGGGACAGTTGCACTGTCCAAGGGTGGAGGTCAGAGGATGCCAACCCCAAAGTCTGGAGGGCCAGGTAGGCAACCTGAATTCACAGGAAGCCGGTGCGAGTGGAGGCTGTGGCACGCACACCAGGCAATGCTGCTCCCTTTCACTCGGATGTCACCCGGGCAACGCAGGACCGATCTCTGCCAACATAGGCAGATCTCTATTTTTTTCCACAAGAAGCTAAAAAAAAATCTAGATCTTAATAAAAAATTTCCAACTTTCAAATATAGGCAATTCATTAAAAAAAATTTTTTTTAACCATTAGGCCAAGTACAACCAAACACAGGCTGAATGTGGCATTCTGGTCATTAAGGACAACCTCACATACAGACATCTCTTCCCCCAAACTGGGCAATCCAGGCACCCCTGGAGATTCGGAGATTCTGCAGGATTCCGACTCAAATTTCTTTCTCTCTGGTCTCCCTCTCACACGCACACACACACACACACATTTACCTTAAGAAGAACAACGCTGAAAAGTGAGGCTGACATGCATGTCACATGAAATTTTATCACATGGAGATTATCAGTGGGTTAACCTATGCTGGCAAGTGAAATCGCCTTTTTGCAAACCTTATTCTCAAGCTTTGCCTGCCATCTGTTGGATGAGACAGCACCCTGAAATTTCAAGGCAACTGATTATAAAAACTGTTACTTGCAACCACTTATCTTGAGTGAATCGAGCTTTTGTCAATCCTGGTCTATTGGCTCAGACAGCAATTGTCACTATTCTGGATTTCACAGGTACACTGCCATCGAAACACTTCATCGTTCCCAAGGGCTGACTATAAATAAAAGCTACATATTTTAACCTAAAAAAGGGTTCCGATCAGCTTCTGTGCAGTAGATTTATTTTTACTAAGATTATCATGTTTTAAAAGGGGAGGGGAGTATAAAGTTTTTAAAGTTTTGTAATTAATAACCTGATTTAACAGCTTCATTTTATAGAGGAGGCTGATAAAATGAGAAGGGAAAAGGTGGCTTTCCCCAAATCACTTGGTCATTAGAGGTCAAGTTGGGGCTGGAATCACGATCTTTCAACTCCCAATGCCTACGCTCTTTCTACTGTATTTGGCAAACAAGAACTAATTATTAAGCACGTGAAAAAGTGAACACACTGCAGTGGGATTTTTACTCTATAAAATTATGTATTTCTGCCCACTCTAGGCAGACAGGAACTGCTTCCCCATCTCTCCACCTCGGAGACATCGAAAATCCCATGGTCATCAGTCACCTATCAAGAGGCCTCCCCCGTGGCCAGCCTGCCCTCCTGCACGTAGAAGGCAATTATAACTGTCTCCTAGTGCTTTCACACTCAGACTTCAAAGTGCCTGCACTCTCAGCCACCAATCAATCCCTCCTTCAGGCCTCCCCAGACGCCCCTGGGGCAGGGATCACGGCCCCACTACCCGGATGAGAACACTGAGGCTGGGAGGGGTCAGCAGCTGGCCCCAGATCACACAGCTCACTGGAGAAACGAGACAATCTGGCTCCAAGTCCCACCTACTCTGCTCCCTCTCAGCTACGCTTTGGGCCCACGTTTGCCACCTGCAAAGCCCTTTGCCACCAGTCACAGCGCAGCTCCTGCTTGGGGCGGGCGTGCCACCCGGCAGGCACTGCGCTCCATTCAGTATACCAAATGCCCCACTTTTTAAGCTTTAGGCTTTATGGGACTTTTTTTATTGCAAAAATAAAGGATCGACTTGGACCAAGTCAAAGAAAACTGAGGTGTGCAAAGAAAAACGTCATTATCTCTCCTGCCCATCTTCCCAAACTCCTCCAGGGCACACACAAAATCAGTATTAAATGTGAGCTGTGTATTCTTCCAGACTTTCTCCTTCTTCATAAAAACACACACAAATGATATATAAGTGAGGTTTACTGTAGTCTGTTTCGTTTTTATAAAAACATTGGACCTGGCTCCTCATGTGAATCTGGCTTTCCTAACAAAATATCCAGGGCATCCTTCTACATTAACAGAAACACGAGCAACTCAGAATTTCCCATCAGCTGCAGAATGTCTGGAGCACGGCTGGACCAGACCCCCGCCCCCCAACTGAGTGGCACCGCGACAGAGCCCAGGGACTTTGCCCACATAGTAACGCTGCAATAAACAATCTGGCTGCACATCCTTAAGTCCCAGTGCTTCCATTCCTTTAAAACGGAGTCCCCAGAATGCCACTGTCGGGCCAAAATGTATTTTAAACTTAAAATAGCATATTATGTTAAAATTTAAATTTCATTTCACTTAGTTCTAAAATAGCATATTGTCTTAAAAATATATTCCCATAAAAATGAATAGAAGTATAAAAAGAAGGCACACACACATAATCCCTTCACCCAGAGATGGCTACTGTTAATAATTTGATAAATTTCCTCCCAGAATGAGACTGTACAGGAGAAGTGGTGGAAATTTTTTACTTTAAGAGACCCAGATTAAATTCCAATCCGCCCTACAGCCATTCACATTCCCACCAAGCAGGTAGGCGAGCCCAGCGCCCACATTTTCCCCATGGCGCTCTCTCGTTGAAACACTTTTGCAACCTACCAGCTGAACGTGGTATGTCACTGTCATTCTCACTCGACATTTCTGTGACTAGAAAGGAGCCTTCTCTGGTTTTCACAGGGACAGGATGGACTTTGAAACACAGGGGAGACAGAAGCACCATTCGATCATTTGCTCGAGAACCATCTTACCGATTTTTGCTGTTCAAACATAAGTTTTTTATAGAAGAGATGGAACTGTTCAAAGCTGAGTTCATCTTTGTGCGCGCCTATTTCCTGTAAATGTAAAAAAAAAGTGACCACACGATTTTTGGTGTCCACCACAAGAATGCCTCCTCCCTTTTACCGGAACACAACGCCTTTTCTACACACTGGCTAAAATTGAACCAGCATTCCTCTGAACACAGACCGTCCACAGCTTCCTGATTTACCTGCCTGCTGAACACACCCAACAGGGACCCCCCCCCCCAGGTAAAAGCCCTTCCTTTGGACACTCCCCTCCAAAAGAAGAGTCTCAAGCAGAATTCCAAGAGCCATACTGAGAACTGTGGATCTGTGAAACAGCAGAACCACCACTACCCTCCTCACACTCCCCTGAAAACAAACTAGGTAACATCAAGGGACACCTGCCCAGTAAAGGCTAGATAAAGAACAAAACTCCGATTAAGAGGTAATCAGTGGTGAATGCTCCTCCCATCTCTCTTCTCTTCTTTCAATCCCCACCCTCCCCTGTTTTTGCCTTTCGACGTGGAATGTTGAAGGCAAGTCAAAAAATGGCCTGGTAAACCACGAAGTGGGTTAACTCTTCCAGGAGCTCGTTGGTACGACAATGAATGAGCTTCTGCAGCTGAGGACTCCTGTGACTGAGGCTGCCACTGACATGCGGGGCACCCTCCAGTGGGGGTACTGGGATGCAGTGTTGCTGGGCTCCTTGACAAGGGCAGGCATCTCTCCGGGGCTGTCTCTCTACGTAGCCTCCATCCTTACGTCATTCGGGAAAGTGTCACTTGACCTACTCTGTCCTCTCACTCCTGGAGTGACTTTACCTGCCCCAGATCTACCAACAACAGCTTAATTACACAAGAACATAAATTAAGTGACAGGTGGAAGGAGGGACAGGTGGAAGGAGGGGGGTGTGGGCAGAGGGGTGGATGGAAGGACGAATGGGTAAAAGAAGGGGTTCGGTAGAGGAGAGGTGGGTGGGAAGATGGATGGGTGAAGAAAGGGTGGGTGCTTGGAGGGGTGGGTGGGTGCTTGGAGGGGTGGGTAGGAGGACTGACGGTAGGAAGTGAGGAGAAGAGCCAACTCTGACAACTACACTATCAGGACTTGCTTGCAAAATGCCTCATCCCTGGCAAACCTACATGAGGAATCCTTCAGAATATGTTCCAAAACAAACACATTTGTTCATGTTACAAGAGGAAAACAGGCTGCAGGAGGGGAAAGAAAGGAAAAGTTGGGATGGTGAAAGCATTCCAAGCCAAGCAGCTCCATACACATAGTCTCCACAGATGACGTCCTCTGCTGTGATTGAGACCATGGTCCGAAGGTCTTCACACAATTCCCGTCTGGACTAAGAAGATGAAGCTGAGGTGAAGGACTTTCTTGGGCCCCATTATTCAGAGCTCAAAGGCACGCAGTGGCTTCGTGTGAGAGGTACCAGTAGCCCTGGGTTCACAAAACCACCAGGCTGAGCTATGAAACTTACCACAAACTTGTCCTTGAGGAACTTGGCACTGCTCACTTTGAAGTTGACCAGGGGCAAGATGGTCTTCAGCTCTCGGAGGCTGATGCTGCAAAAGAGAGGAACCCAGCTCTATCAACTTTGAGGGGTTTCAACAGTAGAGGGTTTGGCTACTCTCATTGGCTGCCACCTCAGGTGGCCCTCCATGAGAAGACCCCACCAATAGCTGGTAAGTGAGGATAAGAGACCTGGGTTCAAGGTTGCAGTGACAGCCCGATGTGCAAAATTGACCTCTACCCTTCAGGAATGGCTATGGACATGGTCATGTAAACAAAACATGACATTAGGTGACCAGATAACCTCTGGAGACATGAAATGTCACAAAGGTTCAAACCAAAGAGAGGTCACTTAAGGCCAGAGAGGAGGAAGGGGAAGGACCCCGCCTTAGGTGAGCATCTACTATGTGCCCGGGTGTCATCCAGACAATAATGTCCCCTAACTCCGTACTACATTTGACCCCTACACAGTGTGCATTACTGACCCCCGGGGTTTGGGACCAGCAATGTGGGGGAGGGGGGAGGGGTCACTACTCAAGGTCAGAGCCAGGTGGAAGCAGAGCCTGGGTTTGAATCAAAGCCCCAAACATATAGTCATTTGACCACACCACAGGGATCTTCACGAGTGTGCACCCCCAGGTTTGCCTGTAACCACCACAGTCGTCTGCTTCTCGGGGAACAACACGAATGGGGGCAGGGGCGCAGGCACCCAGTGGATCCGGGTGGTGCATGAGGGGCACAAGATCAGTCCCTTGTGGCCACAGAGACATGTCCCACAGATCGACAGAGAGGGGGCATTGGTGTGGCCAGAGAAAGCTGCTCTGTGTTCTAGAAATGTCAGACTGGTCAGGGGCTGTGCATGGCCAAGGAAGGAAGCCTGCCCAGGTTGTGGGCCGAAAATGACCCAGTTTCCCAACACCGCCAACCTGGCCTCTGCCAGTCCATCTGGAAGGAAACAGCATGTTCCTTACATTCTGCAGGTGCCACTGGAGATGACAAGTGTCCCCACCTCCAGCTTTCTACCTCTAGTCTAAAACAGCCTCGCTGACGTTGGAGACCTTTACCTGCAAGATGCTTCCCTACCCCCCACTACTACCAGCTCAGCACCGAGGGCTTCCCAGGGACATGCTGAGAGTATCAAAGAGCCTGGTGGGCTGGGACCCCTTTCTGACCCAGTGCCTGGCAAGAGCAGGATGAAGGGAGAACAGGGGCAGGGGCTGGTGCTACAAGATGAGGTACGGGAGGATCTGGCCAAGCTGGTGGCCCAGTGGAGCTCATGGAGAAAACCAGAACCAAGGGAGAGGCCAGAGTCCCCTTGGTAACCCAGAACCTCCAGAGAGAGATAGGGCCAAGAAACCTTCCCATCTCCAGAAATAGAGAGATTGGGAGCTATGAGCCAGTGTAGCTGCCGGGGGGTCAGTGGCACAAACTCAGCGTCCAGGGACATGAGCATCTCAGCACCATGACACTGGGGCTCACCTGCTCCAAAAGTCTCACCTGACAGTGAGCACCTGAACCCCCAGATAAAGGTGGGAGCCAAAGAGCCTCTTTGGGCTCCTGTATTATAGCCTGCCCACTCTACTCCCCTACCCACCCCTCCTTCTCTCTCCACTCTAGGTGTATGGATCTGCGCTGCATGGCCTGGCCCCAAGTCAGGACAGGCACGCCGATTCCCCAGTTGCTGGAGGGCAGGAAGCCAGCAGCTCACAAGTTCACCCCTCACCCCATCCAGGACCTGTCATCAGATAAAGAGAGTGACTCAGCCAAGGTCATATCTGGCATTCAACAACAGGTTAGCCTCAATTCAGGACAGCTCTGCAGGGCCGTCCCGGAGCTGCTCCCCGTGGACTCGGCTAAGGCTGTGCTCTGCATGACAGCCCAGTGCCCCTGCTGCCATCACCTCCACGGGTGCTGATCCCCTTTGCAACCCTGAATGAGCTTCCTGCACACAACCCACATCTCAGACTCTGCTTCCTGGGTGCTCTACCTGTGACAGTGGGTTAGGAACCAGGACAATCCCTACAGGGAGGGGTGACGAAACACAATCTCCCCCCGCCCACAATGAGCCACTGACAGCCCTCCCTCTTCTGTGGCAGACACCACTAAACAATCATGAAATCTTTGCTTCCTGGCCTGGCTTCATCCCAGCTCCTACAACACCTCATCCCATGGAGGCCTGTACCAAACCAACAGGCATGGCTGGCAGTCCCCAGAAATCTGCCTGCCACCCTGAGGCTTGCCCCACACCTCCACCACCCACCTGGGTCCTCATCATAATCATGACAATACTACACACGTGTCAGTGTTTGCCGGCGAAGCCAAGCACCATGTAAGCACTTTTCAATGCTAACTCACTGGACCTGCACACCAACCCTAGGAGGTAGAAGCTATTCTCTTTTGCAGATTAGGAAACTAAGGCACAGTGAAATTAAGTCATTTGCCCAAAATCATACAACCAGTAAGTGTCAGAGCTGAGATTCAAACCTCAGTGCCGCCCAGAACTTTCTGAGATGATGGACATGTTGTAGACTGGGCTAGCCAACAGGCAGCCACCAGCCACATATGGAGTGTGTGGGATACAGCCAATGCAACCAAGACACTGAAATGTTCAGCGCAGTTCATTTTTGTTCATTTAGATTTAAGCGGCCACATGTGGCCAGTGTCCCCATGTCCGCCAGTACAGCTCTAGACACTTGCTGCTCGAGAGTCCCTGGACCAGTAGCATCCACGTCAGCTGGGATCTGTCAGAAATGCACATTCTTGGGCTCCAGCCAGAATGTCTGGTGAAACGAATCTCTGCAGGGGAGGCAGTGCACCCCTGTGGCTAGAGCCCCCAAGGTGCTGAAGCCACAGATTTTAACTCCACGAAAGCCATTTGCATTCCTGTTGAAGCAGAAAACTGAACCCACACTCCTGCCTCCCACCTGCGACACTCACCCCCTTTGCCTCCTGAAGGCCCAACTCAGTCCCCACTCTGTCCCTGCCAGGCTGAAGAAGCGAGGGGAAGGCATGGGCATGTGTGGACTCGGTGTTATATGCCAAGAGCCCAAGGGCAAAGCAGGGAAAGAAATGTCCCCAGCCGGCAATCTGCTGCCAGCCCTTGGGGCTGCTGCCCCTTCAGCAGGACTCCGGCCCCTCAGTGAGCCGCACACTGAGGAGTGCAATTGCAGTGACCCTCATGAAGCGGGCAGGGGCTTTCTCAAGGGGTGTCTCGACCACAGAGAGTGTCACCTTATGCACTGACCTTAGAACCTAATTCCCACATGAGAGAAAACTAAACTCTAAAGGCTCATAAAGGGAGGTCTCTGGAAATCTGGCCAAGATTACACAGTTAAAACATGCATGCATCTGACCCAGTCTCCCCAGGCCTGGAAAGGTCATAAGAAAAGTTTCCAATACTAGAATGCCCCGTTAGCCCAATGCTATGTCTAGGGGTAAAAATGGAGGAGTTTCATTCATCCAACAAACACTATTAAAACCGAAGGAGCCAGATCCCTGACCTCAAGGCACCCTGGCCAACATGGAGCAGCAGCAGCAGCAACAAGGGAAAGACTTAAAGAAAAAGCAGAATAAATCACCCTAGGCAGACCCAAGGATTCATGACACGAAGGCTGAGAACCATACAGCGACCCCACAAGTGCGTCCCATGGGGGTCACACCACAGGTTCACCTGGAACACAATTCTCTGACAACGGGAACATGAAAAACTGGACACAAACTAAATGACAAAAAAAGGCCACTTTCTAAGCCAAATATCAAATTCCCATTGGCTGAATCGTAATGTAGTCACTGACATAATTTTCCTGAAAAGTTGCAATGAAATGTAAAAGTTCTTACAGCTTCACATGAGTGAAAATAGTTTAATCCTGCCCTCCTTTAGTGAGGGATAAACTTGAGTTATTCCCAAAGAATGGAGGGGCAGGTTTCTCACTTACAAAGGAAAAATCTGGAAGAGACCACCTCGGCCAGGGGTTCAAGGTTAACATCACCATTGACAAGCCACATAGAGAGTATATTCCTCTTGATATGATGTATTCAAAGACCTTCACCTCTGAGATAGTCTTCCCAAATACCCACCCCCTGAAGCTACCCATAGCTCCAGTATAATTATGACAACAATATCAGAGTAACACAAATTGACGATGTTCTACAAAATACATTAGACACACTCCTAAAAACTGTCAAGGGCATGAAAGCAAGGAAAGACAGAGCAAGTGTCACACAGCAGAGATGGCCAAGGGGACAGAACAAGTAAGTACAATGGGGGGTCCTGGGCTGGATCCCAGACCAGAAGGACATTGGTGGGGGGGGTAAACTCCAAACACACCACATAGGATCTGAAGATCAGGGAGAACTGGGCAAAGGGAAATATGAGAATTCTCTACACTTTTCTCCAAACGTCAAATTATTTCAAAATGTGTAAGTTAATTAAAGAATGGGATGAAAGAGCATATGTGTAGTTATATTTTAATAAAGAAAAGTGAACAAGGAAGTAAATAAAGTTGAGGATGGAAGAAATCTACTAAAAAAAAATTTGTAGCCGGACTTAACAGTGCTTACCATTCATCATAATGTCAAATTTATGCAATTTTTTTCTAGTTTTCAGCATTTCCAAAATTTTCTATAATGAAAAGGAGTGACTTTTTAAAAAGTCCATATGCAGCTGCAGACCATGTTGAAGCACCACCCGCCCACCTCCACAAGCAACACACTCAGTGGGCAGACTCAGGGGCACCACAGCCCTGCTGAACTCAGTCCTGCTCTGCAGGGTGGGCCCTTGCACAGCTGATCCTCCTTGGTGGTCAGCGGTCACATCCAGTCTTTTCAGCTGATCAGGCTGGTGGTAAATCTCTTCCACTGATGTACTAACAGATTATCAAGGCTCAACTATAACGGGAGAGTATACACAGCCTACACTGGGGGAGATGGAGGGGAGGGGGAAGGCTTGTGTACCTGGAGTGCCCAGCCTGGGTGATGGGGAAGACTGTGCCACTGGACCCTACAGAACACCTACTGCACAAGGCCACTCCACCAAGCCTGGGAGCTGTAGCAG